AAAAAAATTAAAAAAATTAAATATACTTTTGATTTATATCCTTATATATTTAAAATAAATCTGTGAGCTCTAGATTTATATATTTTTTACGGAGAATATTGAATTGAGCTTTCTATATTTGTAAAGTTTGTTTATGTAATATCTTCTAAGTAAAATTTTATTTTATATAATATTTTATAAATAAATATTTATTTATGTAATATTCTATAAAATTTTATAAATAAATATTTATTTATGTAAATCTCTACTCAAATAATAATATAGAGATGATACAAGTAACGACGGACACACTATTGTTTTTTTATCATCATATTATTGTTTTTTTTTGAATTTTTTTATTTAAAGAAATTGACGAGTATCGAAAATACGAAATTACTAGAAATTAATCCGCACATTATACGGGGTAAAATTTAATTTTTCTTAATAATGATACTAATTAATTATGAAAATACAAAGGAAAAATATTGCAAAAAATTGATTTTTATATAGAAATTGATTAATATTAAAAATAATAGAATATATTATAATATTTTAGTAAGTAAAGAAACTAAATACCCTTTTTATTTATATCTATATATATTCAAAACAAATATGTGATTTCTATATTTAACTATCTTTACAGAGAAATATTTAATTGAATTTTCTATATTTGTAAAGTTCATTTATGTTATATCTTATAAATAAACGTTTTTATTTATATAATATTTTATAAATAAATGTTAATTTATATAAAATATTATATAATATTTAAAAAATAAAGGTTCATTTATTTAAATGTCAACTCAAATAATAATTTAAAGATGTAGTGGGGTCGCCATAATTGACCAACTATACTATGTAGAGTATAACTTCTATAAATTAATACTCAATATATTAATAATTATCATAAAATAATAAATTTTGCTAGTCCCAAGTTGCGCCAATATAAAAATCTATCAAATTCAATAAGATAATAAGATAATATTTTTTTTTAAACTCTTATGTACATATATAGTCCCAACAAAAATATAAATTAATAATTATATAAATTTTTGTAAATATATATAAATATGATATACTAAAATATGACTAGAGTTCACTTAAAGTTAAAATTTTATTGGATCTCATCTCCCTAGTTATCATATCAGTAGCTCTTATTGTTGTTTACGATATGCATTCAAAATTTATGATAATTTTTGATGTGATAATTAATTTTCTTACTTGTAAATGTTTTAAAATGTATCATAGTGTTATTTTTAATTTTATCATCAATAATCTGAATAATCCCATGGTTTTTTTATAAATTTTAAACTTATAAACATGTATATTTTTATATTAACAATCCAATATACTATTAAAAACTATTTTATTGTAATAGTTATGATTGTTAATCATTATTAACATTAAGGGATTCATTTAAATTTTTAAATATAATATTATTCGAAAGAAATTTTTGTAAAATTATAAGTGAAAAACCAAATTTTGAATTATTAATTTATAAATAAATTAAAATCACGATAAATTAATAAAATATTATGGTCCTAATATTATTAATTTATAAAGTTTTTACAGTATATTTATTCAATTTCCATGCAATTAAAAATATTTAAATATTTAGCCGGTGTTGATTTCTTATCAACCACATTAATAACAAAAGCAAAGTAACGTTCATACCGTTGAAGGAACAAAATTAAATGAGTTGCAAGACCACAAGCAAGCATTTCAGCACCATCTAACCTAGCTCCTGTGAGGCCAACATACTCTCCTGAAAAAGAAGACATGAAGGATGAGAGAAGCTCAAACTTCTGTGGACATACAAAACCAAATGACTTCTCGTTACCAAAAAATCCAGGGAGCCTTGAGAAGAAGTAGGAGGCGGGCATCTGGAAAGAGCCCCAGTTCTGTCTCAGGCATGGCAAAAACCTTTGAAAGAAAACTCAAAAAAATATGAGCATATTTAACAGCGCATGTTATAATGTTTTTCATCCATGGACATGTTTAAGAAAAGAATACCGTTTTCTCAGTTGCCACACGAAATCGACCATGGATGGAGCAACCAGCTCCCCTTCCCATGACAATCCCATTCAATATCGAAACCTATTATTTCAAAACAGTATTTAAGTATTATTATGTTTACTATATATAATACATAACTTTTATACGTATATTTTTCTAGCTTTAAACAGGTGGGATCCCGATAATTTTCCAGCCCGGCATACCTGAGGCTTGCTATTGGTGGCCACAACATAGTCGAGCTTGTATCCATCCGTAAAGATATCGGCACCGAGTCTCCATTTGCCTAGTCCACGAATATAGAGAAAGAGTGTGTAGAAGTTGAAAGTAAGCAAAAGAAAGAGAATTAAGATGGAAAGGTGATAATGATCTACCTAGTTTAATGTCACGAACTACAGGTAGAACATCTCCACCCAGAGCCGTGCCTAGAGTTGTGGAGATCCTAAGCAATATATAGAAAAATTATTTTTGCTAAAATAATAACTATCGTTATTCCCAACTAAATATAAAACTACACTAACAATTAATGTAAGTTTTTGGCTAAAAAATAAAATAGTGCAAGTGTAATGTTTTGTTGTAAAAAAAAATATTAACGTATTAATGATTAAATGGTTGTGAGTATGATATGTGCGAAGAAAATCAATGGATTAATTACCTTATTTTTACAATATCTTCATTTTTAATAATAATATATATTTTTAAAAAGTTTTTTAAAATATTTATATTTATGTATTTGACCCTAATATTAATATAATCACAAAAAATTAAGCATAATTCTTTTTTTTTTTTAAAAAGCCCATAGGCCAAAGTTTCTAATTTGCTTACATAGGCACGGCTCTGTCTCCACCAGCACAAAAAGCTCTTCCCTGACCCTGTGGAAAAAGTTAATTCACTGTTGTGCAAATTAACTGAAGAAATTATAAGGATAGTGATTACCTTTAGGATGACAAGTTTTACACTAGGGTCCTCCTCATATGCAAGGAACAGTTGCAGCAAACGAGAGATCTATAGAGAAGTTTGGTTCAAGCAAATTAATATGTAACGAGTGCAAGAAAAGGGAGAAGAAACAACGAGGGAAAGATTAAATACCATGTCGAAGCATAGAGCATTCAGCTGCTTTGGCCTGTTTAGTGTCAAGATTCTAACACTGGATTTCTCTTCCACCAAAACCTGTGATTATATATTTATATTGATTCAGAAAGAGAATTGAAGGATTGTTCGTCGTCGATTTGCATGCTAGTAATTAAAGAAGAGAGAAGTGACCTGAGTTTGAGAGGACATCGTCGTTTTCTTCTTCTTCTCCTCTTCTCTTTTTTCTTACCGGTTAGCCCTTAAAGATTATGAGACTGAATGATTCTGATCACAGACATTAAGCGTATATATTTAGTGTTTTTTCTATAAAAAAAATTCTATGATTTTTTGCTATATAAACCAAATTCAAATATCAATCACCCTTGCGAAAGGATTTTTATTCGTTTATTCATAAATTTCGTCATGTTTTTGCAAAGTAATTCGTATCGCGCGAGCATTTATATTTAAACATGTTTATTGAACAAGTACTCTTGAGTTTTTCTTTAATGAAAAAATACTGTTGAACATTTATATAACAAGTACTGTTGAGTCTTTCTTTTTTCTTTTTTTCTTCTCCTAAAGGAGTGTTAGTCTTTTTCTATTACTGTGGTTGTAGATGCTGACTAGATACCAACTATATATATTGACATAGATTTCTTTTTTCTTTAGTGACATAGATTTAATGACGATATACATATATTTTCATACTCCCTCCGTTTCACAAAGAGTGTCATTCTGACATTTTTCACACAAATTAAGAAATAAGATAAAATGTCTCTTATACCCTTATTAATTTGTAGAAAATGACTCTTGGAATCATATTTATAATTAATTTTCTGAATTTATTGAGGTTAAAAATGGTATTTTATGTTAAAAATTACATTGGAATTCTAAAACGACATTCTTTTTAAAACAAAAAAAAAGTGTCATAACGACACTATTTGTGAAACGGAGGGAGTATGATTTTTTTCTGGTTTTTATTGATAGTGCTTGGGGTTAAGATTCACTTTTAGACTAAAAATATGATAGACGACTATAAGATATATTTAAACCATCTCCAACACACTTCTATTTTTGATTTTAAATTTTAGAGGAAAAACTTCTCCAACTTACCTCTATTTTCACCTCTAAAATAGTGTTTCTCTATTTTTTCCTCTATATTTGGAGAACCTCTATTTTTTACTCTTTTAGAGTTGAACTTTTTTATTTATAAAGTAGTCTCATAGGTTTTAACTGTTTTTATTTATGACTAAAACAAACAATATAAATGATATAAATTCAAATTTAACAACAAAACTTAACAAAGTTAATTTCAAATGTATTATATCTTAAAAAAAGTCAGTATTTGATAAAACATTATAGTCTTATTCATTTTGACATAAAAAAACTAGTGATTTAATACATTAGTGATAAAACAAAAATATAGTGATAATGATTTTAAACCAAAAGCTACTATGTTCTTTCATTTTTAATTGATATAATGAATTTTAATTATTGAATAAATGTTTATTTTAAGTTATATTATTATGTATAAAATTTTTGTAAAAATAAAAAAATAAGTGGGTTAAATTGTATTTATTTACAAATAGAAGATATTAATAATAAAATAAAGATATAATATATTTAGAATATTTTCTTTTTAGAGTTAAAAATAGAAGAAAACATTGGAGTAAAATCCACCTTTATTGTAGAGTTTCTCTATTTTAGAGTTAAAAATAGAGGAAAATTGGAGATGGTTTTATAGTGACTAAACCTATTACGTAATGACCACCTAGGAATGCTATAAATGTGGGCAATTTGCATAATAGAACCTTCTAACGTAAAATCAAATTATTAAGCCCAATTAAACGCATACAAAGGCCCATCAAATCGATTCAAACACCCCCGTTCTCGTAACTCGTAATAATAAAAAGTTATTAATACGGTAATAACTAAATTAAAAAGGACCAATCAATCAAATCAAACTGACTCATCTCCGGTCGTCTCCTCTCGCTCCTCGCGGCTCCAAAGGCAAAGAGCTCCACGCTTAAAGGTTCTTCAGTGATCGGAGATGGCGGAGAAGCCGGCGCCGGAGCAGGAGCAGAAGCGAGCGATGGACCCGGCCGTTCTCGACGATATAATTCGCCGTCTGGTTGAGTTTCGGAACACGAGGCCTGGATCGGGCAAGCAAGTTCACCTCAGCGAAGGTGAAATCCGTCAGCTTTGTGCTGTCTCCAAAGAAATCTTTCTCCAGCAACCTAATCTTCTCGAACTCGAAGCTCCCATCAAGATCTGCGGTCAGATTTTGCTCTAAAAAGTGTTTTTTTTTTTGTTCACTTTCTGTTTTGATTGGTAGGGGATTGATTTCGGTTCCTAATTTTGGTGCATGTTGAGATAAAGGTATCTGTTTAGTTTCATCAAGCGTAGATTTGTTCATTGGTGTTGAATTGAAAGTATTAGAACTCTGTGTTTATCTCGAAAGAGAGAATCTTTGAGCTCTTTTGAAGTTGTAAGTGACAATTGGTGGTTTTTAGGTTGTGACTTGTGAGTTCGAGCTGCATAATTGCTGTTTTGGACCAATAAGTGACAAATTGATAATTTGTATCGGGTTAGATATGGTTTGTGCGATTGGTGACGATTGATAGTCTTAGTCTGATTGATAAAATCAAGCGTATGGATGGTAAAAATGTGAGATTTTAGTACTGCAAGTCTGAGATAGGTTTAAGAGTTTGGACTGGTTCTTACAAGGTTAGATTCCTTTATACTAAGGGTTTTTTAATTAAGTTCAATTCTTAAATAGGATAAAGAGTTTTGACATGTTCTTATGAGGTTTGATTCTGTCATATAAATGTTGACTAGTTAAGTTGTGGGTTTTGATTGGTTCTCATGAAACGTTTCCTGCAAAAACGGTTGACTAAGCTTGCGCATTTTCATTCGCCATTCTTTATTAGATGCTGAAAAGATAACTCTTTTTAAAAAGAAAGTGAAATTTCTGTTTTTTAGATCTATTTGGCCTGCATTAGTTAGTCTCCATCATGTAAATCTTCGATGTAATGGTTCGGTTTCGTCTTTCTTAACTCGTCTCTTACTTTTTACAGGTGATATTCACGGGCAGTATTCAGATCTATTGAGGCTTTTTGAGTATGGAGGCTTCCCTCCTGAAGCCAATTATTTGTTCCTAGGTGATTACGTAGACCGTGGAAAGCAAAGCTTGGAAACAATATGCCTTCTCCTAGCTTACAAAATCAAGTACCCTGAGAACTTCTTCTTGTTGAGAGGGAACCACGAATGTGCCTCCATTAACCGTATTTATGGCTTCTACGACGAGTGCAAACGCAGGTTCAACGTCAGGCTCTGGAAAATATTCACAGATTGCTTCAACTGTCTCCCTGTGGCTGCTTTAATCGATGACAGAATACTATGTATGCATGGTGGGATTTCACCAGAGCTGACAAGTTTGGACCAGATTAGGAACATTTCACGCCCCATGGATATTCCGGACTCGGGTTTGGTGTGTGATTTGCTTTGGTCTGATCCTAGTGGAGACGTCAAAGGCTGGGGGATGAACGATCGTGGTGTTTCATACACTTTTGGAGCTGACAAAGTTGCAGAGTTTTTAGAGAAAAACGACATGGACCTTATCTGTCGTGCACACCAGGTTGGTTTGTTTGTACTCGACTTATCATCTCTGTCGTTGAGTGTTTATTTAGATTGATCTGAGTGTTTTTCGACTACTTGTTCTTGTAGGTTGTTGAAGATGGATACGAGTTCTTCGCGGAAAGACAGCTTGTTACGGTGTTTTCAGCTCCAAACTACTGTGGGGAATTCGACAACGCTGGTGCAATGATGAGCATTGACGAGAGCTTAATGTGTTCATTCCAAATTCTAAAGCCGTCGGATAAGAGATCGCCGTTTCTATGACAAGACTGATTCCATTTTTATCACCATGTTTTTTTAAATGTAGGTGGTCTCCAAAAGGTAATAAGAAAAAAAAAACCTTTTTATCTACATGTTATGGTAGCACCACATGTGTGTGTAAAACACTTCTTGGTTTGTGTAGTTCATGTTAGCTATATCCTTTTACTAAACTTCAAGAATGTGAGATTGAAAACATGAATAATCTTTAAGCTACCCTTGCTTTTTTTGTATCATGATGATCTTTTGTGGCTCTTCTTTTGAGATTATCTTTTGGTATATGATAATTTTCTGCAGCTGTACACTAGCGAGAGGATTCTAGAGGCAGGAAACTGCTCAATTGCGACCTTAGTGGTTCTGATAATAGAGCATTAAGCAAACAAAAGAGACGGTCTCAAACAGTTTAACAACAACTCAGGTCTCCATATTTGTCTAAAGATTGTGTTTTTTCTCTTTTCTCTGAATACTATTAGTTTCTCTTATTTGTAACCTCGTATTTATTATGAGAACCCAAAGTCAAAACTTTCTAGTCTCCTAATTTCTTCAACAAAATCACCAGCTGTTGTGATTCATTCACTTACACAAAAATAATCAGGTGGTGGCAATTGTCACATTAAGATCATCTGGTGCTAAAGTAAACAAATCTGTGATATTGAGGATAAAAATGAAAAAAAAAATCTGTGTGCACGTGTGATTGAGAGAAGACAAGAGATTTAATGAATATAAAAATTTGGTAATCAGAAACAACCAAATCAGCACTGAGTCCAGATTCCTCCTCTGGTTACAGAGCTGTTGTTGCGTTTCTCTCTCACTCACTCTCTGCGTCTACATTTTTTGTTTTCTTCTCCGCCGCAGAGATCCGTCGTGTGTATCTCTCCTTGTCTCTCTATCCATGGATTCCCTCGTAAAATCCGGTTGGCAGGTTCTTTCTCCATCTTCTTCTTCCTTTCATCTCGTCCCTTTCTTTTGCGATTCCCACCGATTTAGTTTTGGTTAGATACTCCCGGCGATTTCATCGTGTTTATCTCCGTTTCTGCTAGCTCTCTAGTTTACGATATTATGATTCAAATGTGTATACGCTAGTATATGCCGTGTTCGATTGATTCTTTTGTTTGTTTTGGTCCCGTGTGTTAAATTGGTTCTTGTCGATTGCCTTGTGGATTCAGATCTGAAGATAGACATAAATTTCAAATGTGATCTCAATTTGTGCTATTTAGTTTACGTTTGGTATGTGCACTTTTCTAGCTCAGAGGATCTGTGACTTTTTGATGCGAGCTTATATGAAATAGTTTCTTCCTTGAATGTGTTCTTAGCTCGCTTTTCTGTGATGCGTGACTGTGGATGAATTGTGCCTTTTGGATGATTTTCTTGGAACTGAACACATTTTGTCTCTTTCTAGAGCTCCTTTTTGAGTTTCACTGGCTTTGTCAATCATGTTTGGCTTTTAAGCTTTATACTGTAGTAACCATTGACCCCTCTCTTCTTTTTTTGTTCCGTGGTAATGCAGTACCTTATTACACATTTCAGCGACTTTCAACTCGCGTGCATCGGGAGTTTTATCCTCCATGAAAGTGTCTTCTTCTTGTCTGGTCTACCTTTCATTTTCCTAGAAAGGACGGGTTTGCTTAGCAATTACAAGATTCAGGTTTTGCCTCTTTTTTTCTCGTAGCTTTGTGATAGTGATCGTTCGAATATGAATTTGAGTGAAAAGGGATCACCAAGTAATCAGCCAGTGAACTCGTTTTATTTTTCAAACCTTTTAGTGGTAAAAGTATATGTTGTTGAATTACTCTTGTTTGGTCTTATGCAGGCAAAAAGTAACACCCCTGAAGCCCAAGGGAAATGCATTGCTCAACTATTGTGTTACCATCTCTTCGTAAACTTGCCCCTCATGCTTGGGTCTTACCCTGTCTTCAAGTTCATGGGCATGCAGAGCAGCTTTCCTCTGCCGTCCTGGTATTATCAGGTTTCTTTAGTACTGAAGCTTTATTTTTCCCCCTTTGGGTTCTGATGTTAAAAAAACTCCCCCAGTTGGCAATATATATATATAAAATGTTAGTGTCAAGCTGCATTAAGAAGAACCTGAGTTGAGCTGGTTTATGAATGAAACTATTTATTGGTGATTGCTCCTGCAGGAAAGTAGTGTCAGCCCAGATCTTATTCTACTTCATCATTGAGGATTTTGTATTCTATTGGGGTCACCGTATCTTGCATACAAAATGGCTGTACAAGAACGTCCACAGTGTGCATCACGAGTAAGCTTCAGTACTCGCCATCTAGTTTGTGCTTGACACTGAAACTGCAAGTCCATTAATAATGCTATTACTTACAGATATGCCACACCGTTTGGTTTGACATCAGAATATGCTCATCCAGCAGAGATTCTGTTCCTGGGTTTTGCTACCATCATTGGTCCGGCTCTCACCGGGCCTCATTTGATCACCCTCTGGTTGTGGATGATGCTCAGAGTTATTGAGACAGTAGAGGCACATTGTGGTTACCATTTCCCATGGAGCCCCTCGAATTTTCTTCCTCTGTACGGCGGGTAAGATCAAACATATAGTATGGTCTCCTTGAAGGAGATAGAACTTGATTCTAACAGATCATTAACATGGATCTACAAAAACATTTGCTTACAGTTCTGACTTCCATGACTACCATCATCGGTTGCTCTACACAAAGTCTGGGAACTACTCATCAACTTTTGTCTACATGGACTGGTAAAAAAAAATATCTGAACTCTTGTTTCTTACTTGAAACTAACTTTATTCCGACATGTAAAATTGTTTGTTTGTGTTACTTCAGGATCTTTGGTACCGACAAGGGTTACAGAAAACTGAAGGCCCTGAAAGAAACGTGACAGACAACAAGCAAACGTAAAAGTTGGTTCGTACTCTCAAAAACCTTCCTTTCTTCTGTTTTGCCTCTTAAGATTTTTCTTGAATTATAACCTTTAATCATAAGAACAACATTATTTGCAGTACTTTGGATTGTACATTCAAATATGTTGGTCTGAACTCTGAAGCGTCTCTAATCAACAATAGTTAATTCGATGTTGAATCATCCAGCCTTTTGTTTCTATTGCACTGTTGCTGCTTTCTTACTCTTTGTCTTAATCTTTACATTACTGATAGTGCTCGAAAATGAAGTTTAGTCCCTAGAACCAATCTCATGTCTTTGACTATTATCATATTATCATTACACGAAAGAACTAAGAAGATTGATTAGGGTTGAGAAGAAAAAAAGCAAACCATCCTTGTTAACCCTTTTTTGAAAAAGCCGGGTTAACTTGGACCATCGTGTCGTGTGTGTCAGAGAAAACCACACCACGCATTCCAAGAACAACCGAAAATAAAACTTCCCAAGAAAAAAGGATAAAAAAAAAAAAAGTTAAAGCAGTGTCTTCGATGGGGAGTGTGAAGTTTTGTACACGATTAGTGTCCACTTACGTGTCCATCTCTTCTAAGATCAATCACAACAACACTCACGTTGTCACTACTCTGCCTTGCCAACGCGAGCTTCGTCAACAACACAGACGCTTCCATACAAGCTTTCTCCGAGACCCAATCTTGACCACCTCTCCGTCTCCGACCACCACCACGTAGACACATACTCGCCACCGAGCATGCGGTCTCGTTCGACACCACGTCCCATAAACCGTCGCTGGCTAGTATGAGACAATCATCGTCCGTCCTGTCCGTCACGGTTACTTCAGGCTCGCAACTCACGTAAGGTTTCAGATAATTGTCTCCTATGGCTCGTGACATTGCTAAAACACCTAGAACTCTCGGACAGTCCCAGTATATGACTTGTCCTCCAGCTCCTTCGATCCGGTCCAATTCGTCTGGACGGTCAGGCTGTGTTTCATACCAACAAAACACATTTAGAAACTTTTTTTTTTTTGAATTACTAGAAAATATTGGACCAAAGCTCGTAATCATTCTAAGACCCGAAACCACAGCATTTAATATTAGTTTCAGCCCATTTAAGAGTTATCCAAATCTTTGTTTTGAGACTGACCTTGTGATCGGTTGAGAGCGGAACCGGTTTGCCATTTCGGCAGAGAACCGCTCTGGAATCACCGCAATTAGCAACGACGATCTTATCCGGCGTAATGACTGAGACGACGGCGGTTGATCCAACGGCATCACAATCCGGCGTTTGAAGCTCACACTTACAATTCGCACTCTCGACGGATTCATTACTCCAACGGGAAACCTCTTTATCCATCCTCGTGAAGCTACGCTCCATTGTCGTTTTCCATTCTTCTACTTCTTCCTCATCCGAGTTTAGCTCCTCTTGCACTAGCTTGTGAAGCCTCTCTCTACACCTAGCTGCAACCTGTGGAAAACAGAAACGGTGTCGTATCAATCAACTAAAAACTAGATTACTATATCAAATTTTGACAAACGGGAGAGAATAAAGAAAACGACGTCGTACGTGGGAACAACCATGACCGTCGTAGACACCAAAGTAGTGTTGAGAATATTCCGAGTTCTTCCGAGAAGAAAACGAAGGATGAATCGCAACCGCATCTTCCATTTCTCTTCTTCTACCGCACACCGATGAAACGCCGTATCTCTTACTTACCTCCGTCGCCGGAGACTCGCCGGAGACGTCATCTTCTCTGACCCTTTCCTTTTCAAGTGATTTTCTCCCGGGAAAAAAATCCTCCTTAGAACTTGGAGAATTTAATGAACATGTTTTAGCTAGATCCTCTTGTTTATTACGCTTACAATTCTTCTTCCAATCTTCTTGCACCACCGTCTGGTCCATCGGGAACCTCTGTCTCCTAACTGAATTTAACGGCCTTGATTCAAACGCCGAGGAAGACGATGCGTCGGTCACCACTTCAAAACATATATCCGCCATATTCAACTGGATTTTTTGTTCTGTTTCTCCGATTTTCGAACAACAAAAAGTCGAGTCTTGTTTTGGTTACTTGCCGGAAAAGAAAAAAACTCAGAAACCATTCAGTTGGAAACAATAATGTCACTTACACGTTGCTTTACTCTCTCTGTTTTATACACGAACTCTGCCTCTTCAGACACTAATTTAAAATTTATAAATTTACTGATCAGTTTTTTTTTTTAAAGCTTTTCTTAAGAATCGGGAACAAGTGCGAGTTTCGTGGTCCAATTAAATTGAGACATCACGGATCAAAGTAAGTTCCTTTCGCGCCACGAATATAGACGTTCTTTCGCGTCAAGAAGAGCCTTTTCCCCACAATTAAATCTTTTGTTTTCTTTAATTAATAACTTGAGGAATTTCATCACGTTAGTTTTCGTATTTGATTTCATATAAACCTAAGTTTGGATATAAATTACGTTTACTTTTTTTTGGGGTCAAATTAATTATGTTTACTTTTCAAACCTAAAAAGCTTAATATATAGGATGCATGACAGATAAACTTATAACTCAATTTTTTTTATTATTTTTGGAATATATGTAGGATAGTTAATCAACTATGTTGTGATGCCAGTATGAACTAATTATAAAATAAAAATATCGAATTGATTATTTTTGCCTGCATCTCGTCAAGTCTAATGTGCACGAGACAAAAAGCTAATATAAGCTTCACGCAATTTAAATCCTCATCGTTCTCCTCTAGATCTAACGATTTCATAGTTTACATTTTTTACTAGATAAGAATAATATAGTAGACATTCGATAGAGTTAAGTACCCAAAAATATTAAATTATATTTGTTTTGTTGTTTTTATTATTTTCCTTTATAATTTTGAAGTTCAAGACCGAAGTTCATACATCTTTGTGGACCCTGAATTAGACATACGGTTGATAATACCATAACATATTGTACAATTTTTCGTTCAAAAGGGTTAAACTTAGGGCATAATGATTATTTTATTTTTCACCTAAGTACATAGATTTACTAAGATACGTTACGTAATATTTTATTTAGATGTCGTAAATTTCGAGTATTTAAATTTTATCACTACTAAAAAACTGAGATTTTCATACATTTACTAAATTAAATCAACATGTAAATAATTCTGTTATTTTGACATATAGTACAAATAAAGTATATACTAAGCCATGAGAGATTACACACGAAGGTGCATAGGGAACAATAAACTTATATGGTTTCAGCCGTACAAACTGAATTCTTCACTATCCGGCCGGAATGTCTAAGAGTTATTCACTAATCCACCATTCATAGGAATCCTGAGAGTTGGAAATGGTTACGGTAGTTAGGTGTGATTTAAGCAGATAATCCCAACCAAAGTCGACCTTCTCTAGTCAAATTGTCTCTCATATACTTGGAAGAGTCTTTCACGTCTTTTGTTAGGTTTATCAAAATAGTGGGCCTTGGTTAAGGGGTTAGACCCAACTACATGGGATCAACTCAGGTTTTTGAAACTTTTCCTTTTCATTCTCCAGAGATACAATGTTGACTACATAACATAAATGATTTTATTCATCAAAGTCGCTCACTTGGAATCAAACAAACATAGAAATTTTGTGTGAACAAGACCAGATTCTTGTCTGATAAAAGTTTCCCTTTGTGGACCGGAAGCATTAGAGCTTCTCCAACCCGGAACCCCTTTTTAAAAATATATATATATTTTTTTTAATTTTTGAATAATGATGAATCTCATGTATTTTTGCATCTCCAACCCTGAATCTCATTAGAGATTTTTAAAAATAAAATATAATATTTTTATAAACTATTATTTGTAATTTTAATTTATTTAAAACGTAATTTTAAACAAACTATATTACATAAAACTAAATTTATGTGGCATTACATGATTTTTAAAAATACAAAATATAGAAATTTAGATAAAAAAACATACAAATTACAGATACAGAAATCATTAAACGTTTAACCAAAAAAACATATTCTAAATCAGTAGTACTCCTTCTTTGTTAACCAAAAAAATATCACCAAACCAATAGTAAATCTTTCTTTTATTGTTAATAAAATTAGGTACAGTAATTATTTCTAAAATTAGTATTCTCACTCTCATGAATCAGCTCATGTTAGCGTATTGTGTGTACTGTGTACATAGTTAAGCTTATGTTAACATGACCCGAGACCCGAGAGTGTCAGTGAAAATATTCGTGCTATTAGGTAACTACATTAGAAAAGTGTGAACTATGAAAAAGTTTGAAGAGGAGTTTAACAAAAACTGCAAAATAAATATTTCATATTGTGACTTTATCCTTAATTCATTTAAATGTTAAATGACGGGCTGATATTTATCCCGTACGATATTATTTTGTTTGTAAATTTTGAATTTTCAAATGAACGCTGGAACAAACCTTAAATCTAAAATCCTACCTCTGTTTTAGAAAATTAGAAACCTAAGTAACAACTAACAACTAACAAACATGATTACGGAAAAAATCACATGCACACGTAACTGTTCAGTTAAGGATATAAAACGTCAAAAGCTAACAAAAAAAAACAAAAATTGATATTGACTTATTGAGTGCAAATGTTCTTTAGAAAAGAAAAAGAACTGATAGACTGTGTCTTCATAATTTTTGTTTTTATCTTTGGGTGTCAAATGCATTTTTGGGAGAACCCAAACCGGTACAGAGTTCACATGGGAAACTAAATGAATTATGTAATCGTGCCTTGCTCGCAAATTATATATACGCCGGTGGGATTAAAGTTAAAGTAACGAAAGAATCAAACAAATTACGAGGTAAGGCGCGACAAGGCCATTCTTGTCGTGAGAGTTTAAGACAAACAGATAAAAACAAGACGTGTAGTTAAAAAAATCAGTGACAAAAACGGTCGTTATATCCAAAGTTGGTTCTGAGCTCAAGAAGACCAAGCATGAGATTTCGGCTTACTAAAAATCAAGACCAATACGGTCTACAACATGGCCATTTAAAATATAAAATATAAATGTGCAAAACAATCTCTGTATCAGTGGAATTTTAACTGAAATGTATGGAATAGACTATAGAGTAATTTATCTTTGGGTTCTTAGTTTAATGTCATGTAGCAAATTTAGATTTCCAAAGAAAAATATTTCTCGAGTCTAAGACAAGGTTCTTCGTGTGAGTCTGATACATAAGAATAACGTTTTTGATGAGACCAGCACACCCAAACCTTGGCTCAAGGCTCTGGTTGATAAGAGAAGCCATTGATAGTGAGACCTCCATCAACACAAATGGTCTGACCAGTAATATATGAAGCTGCAGGTAGACACAGAAAAGCTACAAGCGATGCAACCTCTCGTGGTTCTCCAGCGCGGCCAAGTGGAGTTCTACTGTTCAAACTCTTCTTTAAACCGGCATCATCTAAAAACTAATTATTCACAAGATTTTAAGAGAGAAGAATGAGAAATGCATAATGTTAATTGGAAATATTGAAAGAAAGAAAAGAGAGAGAGAGAGAGAGAAGTATGAGAGTGTCATTAATTACAGGTTGAGCAAGAGCAGTGTGGATAAAATTAGGAGCAACGGCGTTTGATCTTATGCCATCTCTTGCCCATTCACATGCCAAATTTCTTGCTAGCTGATTCAAAGCTCCTGTACATACACATACATACACAAAGAAAATAAAGATCAAACCTATGATCTGACTTTTAAAACAAAAAGTGTTTGAGTTTACTACATTAGGTATCATAGATTAGAACTAAGCTGGAAAACTTTACGTGATATATAAACAAATGAACTAGTTCACTTATTGTAGGTCGTGAACAATGAAATACTAGTATATTATGAATTTTATTTCACAAACAAAATGTAATTCTTTTCAAAAAAAAAACATTTGAAAACTGTAGAAGTCATTGAAACTCTTCCTGTAAATTGCGTCTAGATCTAGCAAGACTATATGTACCTTTGGTTAAACTATAGATGGATCCACAATCAGCTGAAACAACCCCTGCAATAGAGGAAATAAAGACAATGCTTCCTGATCCTGAAGCCTTTAGAAAAGGATGTGAAAGTTGGCTAAGATGGTAAGCAGATTCCAGGTTTGTTGAAATATGGAACGAGAAATCTTCTGCTACATATTCTGTTGTTGGCTTCGTGCGAATCACGCCAACGTTGTTCACCTATGTTGAACAAAAAGAGGAAAAAAAAATTAATATATATGTCACTAATTAATAAATATACTTCCTATGAGAATATGCTTAACTTACAAGAATGTTCAGTTTGCCATCGAATATGGCTGAGACGGTATGCATAAGTGTTTCTCTCTCGGGATGAGAGGATACATCACAGATTGAACCACTCACTCGAAACTCTTTCTTTTCCCATTCGCTTAAACTTTGATTAAGCATTGTTTCAGAGATGTCACATACATGGATTCTAGCTCCAAAACCGGCTAGCTCCTCTACTATGGCATGCCTAAAACATTCAACAAAATAAATAAATCTAGTGACATCTCAAATAAAAGCAGAACAATGACTTAAAAGTATTTGATATAGTTAGAGAGTAGAAAGACAAACCCGATTCCGCTGGCTCCACCGGTCACAAGAGCAGTAATACCTTGAAGACTCCATCTTTTTTCCATTTTTATTTGTTTGCCTGTGAGTAGCAATGACCTGAGATGCCACATAACATTATATATATGGACGCAGAGTAGATCAAATACAGTAGAACCTCTATAAATTAATACTCGATAAATTAATAATCACTATAAATTAATAAATTTTACTGGTCTCAAGTCGGGCCAATGTAAAAATCTATCAATAAGATAATAAGATAATATTTTTTTTAAAAACCTCTATGTAAATATATGATCGCAACAAAAACATAAATTAATAATTATATATCTTTTTGAAAATATATATAAATATAATATTTTAAAATATGACTAATGTGTTTACTTTTACTTAAGGTTAAAATTTCATAGGATCTTATCTCTCTAATTATTATATCAGTAGCTTTTCTTAGTGTTTTACGATATACATTCAAAATTTATGATCACTTTTTGATGTGATAATTGATTTTCTTATCTGTAAATATTTTTAAATGTATTATAGTGTTATCTTCAATTTTATCATCAATAATACGGATAGTAGCCATGGTCTTCTTATAAATTTTAAACTTATGAATATGTATATTTTTACATGGACAATCTAATATGGTATTAAAAAATATTTTGTTGTGATAGTTATGATTGTTAATCATAATTTACATTACAAGATTTATTAAAATTTTAAAATATAACATTATTCCAAAGAAATCTTTAGAAAATTATAGACGAAAAGCAAATTTTCTTTATAAATTAATAATTAATAATTTATAGATAAATTAACAAATATCATGGTCTCAACATTATTAATTGATAGAATTGATAGAAGTTTTACTGAAAATTATAGTCTATAGTTAAAGAAACCCTCTACTTTGTCAAAAATATTAATAGTGACCCTAACCTTTTTTTAAAGGGTTTTAAACCCTGAGCTTTTGATCAAAGAAGAAAACAATCCAACGTCAACAAAAGTAAAATCATTTTTGACCAAAATGTATCCTTATTTGTTTCACACAGATACAAGAAAACACTTGAGTGTATGTAACCGCTTTTTTTTTAATACATATGTAACCACATTAATTTAACTAAACCCGCAAATATTTTTCATCCCAAAATTTTAGTGATGGGCATAAAAAACATTTTACCAAATTGGTATTGATTCACCTGAGACGGAAACGAAATCCATAGTAACTAGAACAGTAAAATATTTATACATATCTCTATATTATTATTTAAGTAGACATTTGATAAAATAACCTTTATTTTATAAAATATTACATGATATGTCATTACAAATAAAAAAGAATAGCTAAAATAGGAAAGGATATAGTTGTCTTTCAAAGCTTGAAAAAATATATATGGAAAGTCTTTGTTTCTCATTTAATAGAGTATATTTATTATTTAATTTCTGTATTTAAAAATATGGAAGTTTTTTATATTTTTTGTTTCAAATGATATCATAAAGTAGATTTATTCAAAAAAATATGAAAAAAAAAATTCACTGTTAAATAATATAAAAATCAAGACTAAAAGTTATGATATAAAAAAGAGAAAATTGCAGAATGAGATGTTTTTAAGTTTTAAATTTGAGGAATAGGATGTTTTGAAAACCATAAAAGGAAAGGGATGTTTTTACTGTTTGTCTTCCCACAAGGGCCCTTAGGCAAATTTTATTTGCGGAATTGCCATTATCGAAGTAAAATAACTAAAAATTCCTTATTAAATCCGATTTCGTAAACCGATTACACAAAATTATCAACCGAAGTCCAATATCATAAACCGAAGTAAAACCAAATGTATAATTTATCGACACCCCAACATTTAAAATAAAAATTTAATTTGGGATCCACATCTGGACGTCGTCTATCTAGCATCTCCGGCAATCCATCTCCGATTAGCCATCCGATTTACCGTTGTAGTGGCGCGGAAAGTAAAAAAATCGTTAAGGCGCAACAACACCGTGCCTCCGGTGTCGAGGCGCGTGCTCCGGAGTAACTCGAAGACAGTTCCGACGGACCACTCGCCCATGCCGCCCGTGCCACCGCGGCGGAGTGACCGGGTTGAACATCCCATTCACTCGAGTCGTCTGAATCCACGCCGGCGGTGTAGAGCCAAAGTACAATTCGCTCCTCTTCTTCTAGAATGGCCTGCTCAGAATTCTAAAAGTAAGTTACATTTATGAACTTCGACCTTGTCTGAACTGTACTGGCGATTTGTAATTAAAATTAAGATTGAAACGGGGCGCTGATTGGCTTCATTTATGTATTATCGGTTATGAACTGTAGTACTTATGTCTACATATTGATTTCAAACGGTTGGATTACTCTTATATCATCTAGAAACAGTTACAGAAGTTTTTATAGGAGAACATACAAATAGGGTAGTTTAGGAGAACATAAACAAATATATGTTCTCTCTTTCGAACTCCTTCGAACTCCTTTCCCTCAAACATTTCCCTTGGGTTTGCATTTCACTGTTTATCCAGAATACTATATTTTTTCGTGCATTTCGGAATTGTTGTTTTCGTTCAAATACAGGAATGGAAGACGGAGAACCTTCAAATACAGGCATGGAAGATGGAGAAGCTTCAAATAACCTTTCGGAAAAACTACCAAAAAGAGTCCTCGGCGATGGTTGCTACCCTGTTGGTGCTCGGTTGAACATATATTCAAAGGCCAATGTAATTGGCCTCCTTGTCGAGGTGTTAAAGGGTACTGAAGATCTTGAGAAGCTACTTCATTCCCAGTTTGGGAAGTTATTCCATCTACCTGTTGCAAGATGTTGCAACAGCGTCAAACTTGTCCATGCCCTTTTATCACGACAACTTGTGACCACGAAGAAACACGAGATTTGGTTCCTCTTTGGTGGACAGCCTCTGAGATATTCGATACGGGAGTTCAAGGAAGTCACTGGATTGAATTGCAATCCCGAACCTGATAGCACAGAAGAAGAAGAAGAAGTCGGAAAAACAGGAATCTGGAAAGACCTGTTCAGAAGAGCGAAGGCTATGAACATGTATGATGTGCTTGAAATGCTAAAGGACCCGGATCTACCCCGATGGAAACGGCTTCCATTGGCCCTAATCGTTCTTGTCGACGGTGTTCTGTTTTGCAATAGCAAAAATCTGGCCCTCACCGAGAAATACGTTGAGATGTTGAGTGACTTGGATAGGTTCATGCTGTATCCATGGGGGAGGGTATCCTTTAACAAAACAGTATCTCGTTTTCAAGCTCCGAAGGCAATCACGGATGCCGAGAAAAGGGAGAATCCTGTAACACGATTGCTCCGTCAACTTAAACAGAAAACCAGTGCATGCTATGGATTCCCTCTATCACTACAACTCATGGCCCTCCAATCTATACCAATGTTGGTTTCCAAAATTCCTCAACCTGATAACTTGAAGACATTCCTTGAAGATCCCGAAGACTGTGAAAACGTTATCACACTGTTGCATCTTGGGGACATGCATGCCGTGGAATCCGACCCTCTGGTAAATTATTTGTAGTATTATATTTAGTACTATTTGTAGTCTTATTTTGTAGTACTTCTCTTAAAAGATAAGTGCTCTGTCATTTTGGTTGGTAATTTTGCAATTGTATATTTTTTGTCTTAGTTGTCTGTGAAACAGATGGTAGTGGATGATGGTGAGAATGACCAACAGAATGAATTGCGTTGGGGAGATGAGGTAGAGGATGCCGAAGTTGCATTCATGCAGGAACTCATGGCCGAGGGGTACAAATTCACACCTTCGGATTTTGCAGTGGCACCGGCACCTATCGTGGATATTAGTGATGCAGAGGACGAGGTTACCAATGAACAGGAACCTGAGCCATCCACCCGACCGAAAAAGAAACAGAAAACCCATCAAACTGAAAAACGTAAGATGCAGAGGAAGATAGACAGGGGCAAGAACTCTTCTAATCTATCGGAAGATGAAACACCTGAAAGTGGACAGATTAAAGATCTTAAAAGATGGATAGTACTTCAGAATACTTTGCTCCTTCGTGAGATTAAGACCGAGTTAGACAAGAGATTGGGCGTATACCAAGATGACGAAGAAGATGACGATGTACACCAGTCAAAAGAAGATGGGGAACAGGATGACGAAGGACAGAATACAAAAAAAGATGGTGAAAAAGCGGATGAAGATGAAGACGAAGCCGAAGATGGAGGGGCACAGTCTAGCGTACGCCATAATGATGGTGTACACCCCGAAGATGGTGTACACCAGAAAGAAAGAGATGATGAAGAAGGGACCTCTACTTACTACGGCGGGGACCATTATTCTCCCAGGGACCATGCGTACTTGAAGACTCCAGAAGCTCCGACGATGACCCCTGAACCGGGACAAGCCAATTCAGGAACAACTCGTCCACCTCCTTACTTCGTCATTCCGGATGAAATTCCACCTTCTGGCCTCAACGAGGTGAGCTAATTGTTTAGTCAGCAGCTGACTCTATTAAGTTTCATAACGTGGGTGTAATGTGCTATGTTTTTTATGACTTATTCATGTGGATGGTGGTAGAACAAATTTGGTGTCAGGCCCCTTAGTAGTCTACAAACCTCAGACTCCTCACCCATTGAGCTACGCATATAAGAAACATGAAGCGCAGACAGATGCGCAGGATGCACAGGTCAGACATTAAAGTTGTTCATATGATATGCATGTGTATACAGTAGTGTTTAGGTATACGCTAGGTATACGATTGATATGTTATACGCTTTATTGTTACGGTGGTTTGTAGGGTGTGGCTAATGAGGACGACTCAAATGCGGGGAAAGATTACCATACTGCGCCTGAGGATGCAAGTGATGCTTCGCAGAAGACCCCTCGTACTCCAAAACCCCCACAAGAAGTTGAGGGATCGTCTGGTGTAATGAGAACAAGTGGAGGAACAGGAAGAGGACGAAGAGGTAGAGGAACAGGAAGAGGAGGAAGAAGTAGAGATGCATGCTGCAGGCCTTGGAGTGGAGGATATGGGTTTGATAACGGACGATGACGTTGACAGGTTAAGGGAGAAATACGCCATGGACTCATACGAAGAGTTTGTCGGGAATCCGGCTATTGCCAACGCTTAGGACGAATGTTGAAGTTTAATGTTGAACTTGACAATTTATGCAAGGGTTATTTGTTGGATTATGTGTTTGATAATGTTTAGGATGTGGGTTTATTTGATAATTTATATGCTTATAATATTGTTTACTTTACTATCTATTAATTGGTGTGTCGATTATTTAATTTGCTTATAATTTAGTTTACTTTAATAATTGCGTATCCGTACACCTAATAGCGTTTAGTTGTACACCTATATGCATCAAATGGGAGTACATAAAGACAAATTTGTTTATACTTCACATTATTTTAGTATTTATTAATCGTTGTGTGAATACCTTGTTCCCGGCTAAATATGTACCTGTACACCAATATCCATTTACGTGTACATCAACTGGGTGTACAACAAGTAAATTTATGGTTTATCCACTAATTTTACAAACTCATTTACAATCTTAACGGTAACCGCATTTAATGTATACGGTCATTTAGTGGGCTTTTTTAATTATTATATATATGCAACATAAAGAACCGTTCCGCTTCACAAATCCTAAACCGCAGTTATTCCATCTCCATAAACAACCGTTTTCATCACAATTGAACCTCACAAATTAACTATGGCACCAAAGAGAGGGCGATGTGATGCGGATATCTGTGATTGTCGTCAATCCCCTCTGATGGCGCTTCCCGACGAACTATTGGAGAAGGTTCTCGCATACAGTTGCAACTCCGTCCAACAAATTTTCACACTGAAGCAAGTTTGCAAACGGTTCCAGGCCTGCACTTTAACCAAAAATTTTCTAGCATCGGTTGATCCCGTGGAATTGGAGATGCATATTCCCGAAGATTTCGATATGCCTTTTATCGCGTATTGGGAATTTCCAAACTTGTTGAGGATGATGTATGACGCACGCAATCCTGGTTTGCTGTTCATGAAGGGGATGCAAGACTACTTCTGCCGTGAAGACAAATGTGGCATAAAACTCATCAAGGAATCTGCAGATATGGGATACGAAACAGGTATTTACATGTATGGCATATACATGAAAGCAGTGGTCGAAGACCCCGTGGGTTTAGAGTATCTTTCAAAACTAGGCAGGGGGGCAATGAGGAGAATAATTCGGAAAATTATTGATGGAGGTGAGCGTGGTTATGTTAATTTGCCAGAAGAGTTCTCGAGGAGGAGATTTGAGACTAATGCTCAGTTTGCCACACTTTGGTCTTGTCGCTGTGGTGTTGCCAATGCTCAACTTGATTGGCATGACGAATTGTTAAAGGGGCCAAGCATGTGCACGTCGTGTTTCTGGGCACAGGAAACGCAAAAGTTCTTCGTATTTGTTTGGTATGCAGCGCGTTCTGGGCCGTCAATGGAAGAATGGTGACTGATTGGTGCAAGTCAACCAGTTTCGGTGTGTACACCTGCGTTGTGTACACCTTGGTGTGTACACCTTGGTGTACACCTAAGTTGAGTACACCTCGGCGTTGCTGTTATTTCGTACTTTAAGATTTAAAATTTTATTTAGGCCTACTACGTATGTATGTATGTAGGTGTACTTTGTTTTGCTTTCTATCTATGGATATTTTAATTGTGCTGACTTTATTTAATTTCAGTGGGTGGTAGTGCAAGTTTTTCGAGAACCGTTCTCTTATATCTTTAAAGTCTCAGTTTACCTCTCTGTGTACGCCTAATAACTACAAAAAAAAAAGAACACCTCAATCTGGACTCAATATGTACACCTAAATTTGTACACCTGAATGTTACAGTTATCACATATTATATATTTGAGTAAACAAACGGCATTATCTGTTTTCAGAGAATTTTCGGAGAACATGGATATACACACGACATTATTTATTAAAAGCCTTACCTTACCTATTTCTGTACGCATATTTTCAAAAAAAATTCATGATTTCGTCTATGTGAACTCAATCTGTACTCTATATCTCGATTAACGTGATGTTGAGAAAATGTCTGTAATGATGACAAGAAATTTATTTTCCTACAATTATAAAAGGGCTGTCTTGTTGATGAAATTTCGATAATATCATAAATACTAATAGTATTGTCTCAGAAATCATAAATGTACTATGGTATATCAAAAAGTACATTAAAGCATTCATCAATAAAGTTAATTGGTGAAATTTGCTTTGATTTGGTAATAATTTGTATTTATTGTGGTAATTTAATTTTGCCGATAAACGAAAAGACACATTTTCGTCTCTTTTCAACGTCTCTCTTCAAAGACAGCTATTCGGCTCTATTAAAACCGCACTACCTCTTTAAATTCAATCCCTTCACCGTAACTGCCTACTTAGAACCATCATAACTTCCTCTTTTGTACCATTTTCAATCCTTTCTCCTCTTCCTCATTCCATTTTCTTATCTTTTCTCTTTTCACCGAAATAAACGATGGTTCCAAGGAGAAACAGAGGTGGTGATGCTGATTTTTCCTATCTTCTCTCACTCCCTGATGAATTGCTGGAACAAATTCTGGCCGCTACAAACCCAACTATAAGGGAAATAGCCCGCCTCCGTGCTGTTTGTTCTCGTTTCAACCGTATCGGCACAAGCAGGGGTTTCTATCGAGCCATTGATCCCGCCGAAATCGTGCATGAACAAGCGGCGGTTCCACATTACCCAACGATGATGAGTAGATTCCATGACGCGGGTAATCCAGGGGTTATTTTCGAGAGGGGGATGCAAGCCTACTTTTTCTTCCACGATGGTAGGCATGGAATTGATAAGGGCTGCTGCGGAGGGAGGCTACGACCGAGCCCTTTTTGTGTACGGGATGTGGCTCAGAGCTGTGCCGGAAGACTTCATCCGTGCAGAGGAGTATTTGGGCAGGCTCACGGTGCAAAACCGGAGGAGGATGAGCCGGTTGTTGCTGGCCGACGTTCCACACGGATGGAATTTTGATTTGCCAGTGGATTTCACTGAGAAAGCGGTTGCCTTTCATCCGAGATTCCTTGCGCTGTACACCTGTCACTGCAGGGTTATCAATTACTGGCTCCAGTGGTTTGCAGAAGACTTTAAGCAGCCAAAGTGCACAACCTGTTTTTGGGCCCAAGAGACCCAAAGGTTCTTCCGCTTCATTAGGAACGTCGTTCCAAGCTGGCCGTTCATGCTCGATTGGTGAAAGCCGTAATCTTAGTATTTGCTTGCATTCGTGTCTCTTTAATTATTTATGTTGTCTAAGTGTTCCAAACTACAACTGATGTTTTCAAAATTGCTTGTCTGCTTTCGGTTTTTAGTTGCAACTCTTACTTTTGTATAAACATAATCTACGGAGAATTAGTAGTTGATTTTATGATATTTATGGTACTTATGTTCGTAAATATAGTAATTAATCATCAAGCTCTTAAAATGTTTTGTATCAACATGAAAGTGCCAGAATATCATTTCGTCTAGGGCAGTAATTAATTATGTACACCTCTTCACTGTAATTATTTATGTACACCTATTACCGTATACCTATAGACGTACACCTACTTACGTACACCTACTTACGTAATTAATCATCAAGCTAGGATATCATTTCGTCTAGGGCAGTAATAAATTATGTACACCTCTTCACTGTAATTATTTATGTACACCTATTACCGTATACCTATAGACGTACACCTACTTACGTATACCTAAAACCGTAAACCTAAAGACGTACACTTACTTACGTAAACGGGGTCAGATATAGATTGGAAACGTAAAACAGGTTGAAAATATAATAACATTACACATTTTTAAAGAACGATGAATACTGGAACGTAAACGTACACTATAATTGGTATACGGGTTCGTAAACGTACACCAATATTGGTATACGTGATTGTAAACCCTTTTTTTGACATAAGGCTGTTAAACATAAGGCTGTTAAACATAAGGCTGTTAAACATAAGGCTGTTATAAAAACTTCATATTTATTTTACAAACAAGCGACAAGCGAGCATAGCACATCGATACTAAAGCATTTTTGCTATGCGTTCTGCCGAACATCTAAGATAACAATTTTCACATGTAACAATATAATGCACATTCTCGTGATACACTTTGCACGACGCAGAGTTGTCTTCATGAATGAGACTAGGGTACCTGAACTTTTCCTTGTATGTATGTTTATTACGTGGGCAAAATGACCAGAATAAATCTACTATCTCTGCGGCGACTTCAAGAATTTCACGAGAATCATGAGGATAGTGGTACATGAAAACCATCTTAAGAAGTTTTTTCCCTCTGCTAGGGCGACCCACGCACATTTGCAAAATCGCACAGCTGTAAGTCGCATAGACGTCTGATGGCACGAGCTTATTTAGCATCCTGATGGCGGTGTAGATCTTCTCCTCTGTTGACACGAACCTTATAGCTTCGACCAATATGGCCCGTGGATTTCTCGACGCTAAGCAGCGCATGAATAAAGGCCGATATACTCCACCAGGGTATATCCGAGATGGTGTGTCATGCAATGTCCATAGGTATGCCAATCTGAGTACTTCCGCGCTATACGCAATGTCTCTACCACGGGTCCCGGCCAGAATAATCGGTCCAAGGTCGATGCAGTCAGACTCAGCAACTTTCTTCACAATGATTTCGAAAATATGATCTGGTAAATCTGGTAAATCTGGCATTTTTTGGGAAGGTTATAGGGTTTGTGTAAGGTTTGTGTAGGGTGAACTTTCTGCGCAATTTTATGAAACTATATATTGAATTCCATGGGTAGTTGTTGTTGAGAAATAGTTAATGGTAAGACAATTAGTGTGTAGTTGAACAGAAGTAATATTACAATAAGTTTGTGAAGTGATGTTTACCAACTACAGAAATTAAAGAAGTAGTTACATTGTTACAACTAGTTAAGTTGTTAGTAGCTACTTGTTACAACATCAATCGTCAAGTGATTTTCACTTAGTTTCCACCTTAAATTTATTACAAAATTAAACAAGCACTTGCAATTTAAATAATTAAACTAAAGTAAATATCTTATGCGCAGAGCCGTGCATTGTAGAAGGCAATACTCGCAGTCTGGTGTATTTGAGCCATCGTAATGGTCATCTACACACTCCGATATAGGTTCTTTTTGTAGGGTGATGGGGAAGGACCAAAGGCTACCCCACGGATCTTGAAACGGCCCCAGTGCGAACTCCCATACGTGACGTATAACGACGTGCGCTAACAGCTTTATTTCATAAGCCGCATAAGGGACGTGGTGAGTGAATACATAGGTGAGGAGTTTTTTAGCCCTTCGCGGACGACCGACGCAAATTTCAAACATGGCACATGCGAAAGTAGCATGTTTATCACATGGGCAAGTCGGTTAAGTATTGTAATCGCTGAATACAATCTTTGCTCACTCACGGCAACTCTAATGGCTTCGAAATAAATAGCTCGTGGATTACAGGCGCCAAGACAACGCTCAAAGAATGGGCGGTAACGGCTCCTAGGGGATACGTCGAGCGGTGAGTCAACCAATCGAGAGATGTCTGCAGAGCGTAACACGTCGTCGGTGAACGCGATGGCTCTTCCACATTTTCCTGCGCAAATAAAGGGGCCAAGATGATAGGAATCATCCTCAGCTAGTTTCTTTACTATTAACCCTAAAAAATCATCGTCTAAGTAGTGCATTGTTGTTTCACTTTGGTGAAAAATAAATTTGATTCGCTTTATTTGTAGACAAGGTGGATAGATATATAAATGTCCTAATTCGTGGTTGGTATACAGATAAGAGCCACTTCAATAACTGCTAAACTGACCCCAACACGTCGCACTACATTATAAATGTAACTAGTAGTTTCGGGCACTTTAATAAAAGAGAACTGACCATTATTCTAAAAAATTGGGGGTACAAAACGGGTAGGTGAAATATTTACTAAAAGGGAGTACACTATTATATTATTTTCAACCGTATAATAAATTCTCCACCCCCCAACCACACACCAGTGAAGTCCATATATGATGATTTTGCTTTGTCTTACCAAAACTTGCCTCCTTTCCAGCGAAAACAAACCCTAAACCAAACATAAAAAACCCTAAACTGAACATGTCGCTCCCAGACTTGCCTGATGAAATTCTTATCGAAATCCTCAAGAGGCTCGGCATTGAAGCATTTTGGCGACTCGGACCATTTGTGCGCGCTGGAAAGCGCACCCTCCGGCTTGTTTTCACCGACGATGTCCTCAAAGCTTCCAACATTTATGCACTTTGCTGTGTCCCCAACGACATATGCCCTGGAAATGAAAGACGCCCATTCTTTCTGAGATGTTTGGCGAGTGGAAACCCTGAGGCAAGATACTGGGAAGGCCTGAGACTTGCAACAAGAGGCGCAGATCTCATTGCAAGTAGGACCATGCTGGAACCAAATGTTCCCACCGACGCTCTCTCGACCCTGGCGTCCGCCATGTTCAGCGTTTGCTTGGGTGACCCTTGTTCCACAAGCCAAACATTGCAATTGTTGGCAACGCATCACGGAAGTCTACAGTCAGAGCGCGTGCGACAATTAGGTGAGGAGTTAATTCTTGAGATTTCATATTACGGAACTGCATACATGGATACGTACTCAAACTCATTTTCATATCCAAACGACGACGTCATCAAGCTGCCTGATTGTGCATTTGATCATTTCGAACCTGAGATCCGAGTACTTTGCAATGGTTGCTTCATATATTGGTGTGCTAGGCGTATTTGCGAAATGCTTTAAAAATAAGTTTATGCTGTACACCGTTGCAAGTGTACACGAGTATGTGTACACTATATGAAGTGTACACATATATTTCCTTTTTAGTATGTAATGAACAATCTTTGAATTAATATTCCATGATTTATGTTTCATGAAATCGTTGGACAATTTATGCTTCGACAATTTATCAAATCCAAAACATGAAAACCACAAAATGATATTAAAAAGTTAATATGAAGTCATAAACTTCCCAACCAACTACACGCTAACAAAATAGAGGTCTTATTTTTTTCCTAAACAAAATACAAAATTCAACAAACATAATTAAAAGTACAATTAAGGAGTTTATGATCCTCCGGCGTGCTCCACCGTCCACGCAAGTGCAGTGGTTTCAAAAGCAGCCCTGTCTTCCACGTAAATCCTAGCAATTTCTTCAACAAAAAAGTGTCCTTCGCCTATTTGGGGGGCAGTAAACATTTGGTGTATTTCCGTCAGTACCTGATTACATATACATGTAGACACTGGTAAGCCCTTATTTAAACGGAATTACTATATTATATTCCCTAAAAGACAATAACGATTTATTTCTTTCATGTGTAAAAATACATCATTGATGCTGTTGTTGGTCCTGAAGTGAGTTGGGTTCAACATCTTCAGAAAAATGTTCCCATAAGTATTAACGTTTGGGTGATACACTTTTGTTTTGAACATCACCTGAAAAAAATCAGTGTTATTAGTAATTGAAATCTTTATTGACTAAATCCTAAACCCTAAAAATACAGCAATTTTAGAGAGCAATCATATGCTTCATTCCTTACCCTAGGTGGCGCGAAAGGGTAGTCAAGCGGAAAGTGAATGTCTACTTTGAAAACACCATTCTCATAGGGTGAACCTTTAGGCCCCGTTATGATAGCTTCCCAGTGATACAAGTCCTCACCCACAGGTCCTAATGAAATCGGCAAACCACTAATTAGGTAGACGATGTAAAAGACCGACCCTGTAAAACTAAAACTTAACTAATGCCCTATGTTCAAATTAACCATCAAATACCTGTACTGAAACATGGACTGTTTTTCCTCTCCACTTCCTTCAATTGCAATGAGATCACTTTCGCAGAGTACATGTTTAAAAAGTAAGTAACTTTTGCTGTTATTAACTTTTTCTGTCTCCGGAAACTTGTTTCACTGAAGAAGGCAGGGGACAGTTTTTATAGAGGACGACCGGAAAAACATTATAAAGTAAAGAAGGGAAATGAGTCGGTCAAACGGTGCAACAGGTTTCAAAAAAGTTACTTAACTAATTTTGTCGTTTCCAATTTGATTTTTTTGAACGCAGACACTGGTTTCATTATTGCGATTTTCAAAATTGTAATGACTTGTTTTTTGAAAAAACTGTTTACTCGTGTTGTCATGTCCTACAATTTCAATTCAAAGACACGATCATTGTCCGTTTTCTATATAATGTTTTCTTTCTCTGCTATAGAACCATGTCTTTGATAATTATTTTGATCCGGAACCATGTCTTTCATAAAGTTTTCTTTCTCTACTATAGAACCATGTCTTTGATAATTATTTTGATCCAGATCCATGCCTGTGCTAATTATTTTGATTCCTTAATAAGATAAAGCCTAAAGCCTTCATCGTAAACCCTAAGCCCTAAACCCTAAACCCTAAACCCTAACCCATAACGTCCATAACATAAATTTATATGCTAAACCATATAAATGTAAACTTATACATAAGCCATAATGCAAATACACTATATGATGTAAACTGATTGATGTTGTCCACCATCACAGTGTACACAAACAGTGTCCACCGTCAAGGGTGTACACGCTAGAAACAAACCCGGAAAACATAGCAACATGTCCACCGTCTAAACCCTAAACCCTGACCAGTAAACATCATAAATTTCATAACAAATTAAACATAGTTCATGCCTTTCCAAGTTTAAATATAGGGAAACATAGTGTACGCTACAAACAAACCCAAAAAACAAAGCAACATCCCCACAAAAAAAACATCAAGAGACACACAAAAGCCACACCCGGTCAACCCAATGGTTCCTTGCATTTTGCCCGGTTATGGCCGGCATTTCCACATCTAGAGCATTTGTTTGGCTTCTTTTTTTTCGCAACCTGCAACAGCGTATATCAGTAATCATCAATCAGTAATCAGTATCATTGGGAAAAAAATATATGTTTAGTTACACTAACCTGAGGATACTCTCCTGCTGAAAGTTTTCTCTTCGTCGTAGGCCTTCCTGATGGACGTTTTGCCTTAGGTGGCATAATATTAAGGTCACGCACCTCTGCTGGGATACAAATGTCGTCAGGGTCGGGCACTGGTAGGATTTTGCCAGAAACTGTTGCACTCCAAATTGATTTCTTAAGAATTGGATCAACCAAACTGCTGTACTCCACTTGGCGAAGCCTAGCCGCGGCCATTGCATGTCGGCAAGGGTATTTCAATGTCTGAAACACTAGACATGAGCATGTTTTGTTTAGAAGATCAACAAGCCTCCGTACACCGAACTCAAAACTCACTTCAACCTCCCACAAAGAAATGCCTTGAACCGAAAGTGCAGCAGATATTTGCTGCTGCAGGTTCATTAACTTCTGTAATGTCACCATCCATCTTTTGAATGGTCTCTATTCTGCATTCAAGCCACCTACTTAACATTCGCCTGATAAATTCTAGCATTGCAACGATTGGACTGTCTCTGGGAGCTAATAGGGCATTGTTCAGAGACTCTGCAATGTTATTGGAGGTCAGATTATACCTCTGACCAGAAAAGTGTGATCTAGTCCACAGCGCAAGAGGGATTTTTTCCATGTACTCCCAACAACCATAATCAACATCCTTCAGCCTTGCGTATAGTTTCTTGAAATTAGAAACTGTGAACGCTTCTCCAGCCTTTCCGACCAACCCTTTCTGACCGGAACCTTTGTATTTACCGTGAACATTTCTCTGGATATGGACAAGACATGCACCGTGGCGTGACTGTGGATCCCATTTCCGTATTAGCTTTGGCAATTCCACCGTGCCTATCCGAGATAATAGTAAGATCAGAGGAATCTGGAATTATTTCTAACAACTTCTCAAAGAACCACATCCACGTCTTGTCAGACTCTGCATCAACAACGGCAAACGCTATTGGAAATACCTGGTAATTAGCATCTTGTCCATTGGCCGTTAATAGACAACCCTTATACTTACCAGTGAGGTGAGTCCCATCAACAACAACTACTTGTTTCAAATGTTTCCATCCAGATATACACGCAGCCAATGCCATAAATACGGACTTAAACCTGGTAATACATTTTCCTTCTTTTTCATCTCTCTCGCTCTCGGTTATCAAATGCGTTATGGTGTCGGGGTTAGCATACTTGAGCACATGGAGGTAAATCGGTAATAATTTGAAAGAAGTCTCCTCTGTTCCGTGAGCAGAGTATATAGCCAGCTCCTTAGCTTTCCAGCATTTCCAGTACGAGGCTGTAATATTATATTCGGAGAGAACAATCGCAGGTAGCTGACTCGCACGTGGCCCAACTATTGCATTCTCATACTTAGACTTCAGCAGAGCCGCCATGACTTTAGAAGTAGCATGTTCTGAAAATTTCTTTCTTGTATCCGGGTGGCATGTATGCTTCAAACACGCCTTCCTCACCTCATACAACGCCGACTCGCCAACTTGACACCCCAACACTCTCCAATCACATATCTTTGATGAACATTCGGCGACTGTGTACTTCTTCGCATGCTTTTTGAATTCGAACGTCACTATATTCTTCAGCGCATTGATGGCCAACATGATTTTAAAGTGTTCCTTGTTCCTGAACTTTTTCCCAACCCATATCTCTCCATCTTCATTTGACAACTCAAGTTCATCGAAATCCCCTCCCATTTCATCAGAGACTGGTGCCACATCCGGAAATCCATATAGTTCTGTACGTTTAATCGCTTTCTTCAGCTCTGCACCGCCATTCAGACGCCCCCAGCTGACATCACCTGTCGGAGTCTGCACAAAATCATCATCATCTCCATGGGGAGCCAGAACATTCTCACATACAGTCCTCTTTCTTCCAGGAAAATGAATAGGACTCTCCGTTAAGACAATGGAGTTGTCCATATGGTTTCAATCACTTGGCTCACTTCCGCGAGTACTTCCACAACCGCCTAAACTACCAGAGTCATCCTTATCCTCATCAAATCCAGGTTTAGAATGGAAACCCTTTCCATCTGCTAGTACGTAATCATTCCACCAGTCAAAATCTTAATCCGGATCATAATCATCATCAGAGCCGTGTGCGTCATCGTCAACATCATCAACTTCCTTCTCTTCCGAATCTCTCGCCTCGTCTGATTCCTGGGACATTTTTAATTCCAACTCAGGGTGGTCATCAGAGACAGCGTGACTTGGAACATCCGGTTTTACATTAACGGAGGTGTTAGTGCTGGCCTTAGCCTCTACTTTCTCTGATTCCTGGGACATTTTTAATCCCAATGGAGGATGGATAACAGAGACAGCTTCAAGTTGTACACCTTTGGAGGTGTTCATTGCGGCCTCTGCCTCTATTTTCTCGGCATGTGCTATCAGCAAACAATCATCGATATCTTCATCATCTGCTTCATCATCGGGTTGACTAGACTCTGCCGAAGAAGAGGCTATGAAGTTTGTTGGCCCTAAGGACTTTCGCCGTTCCCTCGCAATTTGAACTTCAAGACTTTCCTTCCGTTTCAATCTCACCATTTTACCATTTACTGACTCCTTGAATGTGACAAATAAATTCACAGACTTGTCAGACTTATGCAGCAAAAGGAAGAATTTGTACTCTCGAGGAGTAACTATTACACATGGACAACTCTCATCACCATTAAGCTCAGCTAGAACATCATCAAACCAGTAGGAAATCTCCACCGAAACAACTCTCGTGTCTAATCCGAACTCATGCGCAATCATATTTCTCAAATCATCTGGTCCTGACACATCTTTGCAATTTATGCACCTGCCACGACGAGATATGTCCATTTTGAAATCCCATTCTCCTGTATAGTACCTTATTCACGTTCCCGCCATAACAAGAATGAACGCATCCACTGTAATTCGCGAACACCATATCTATAAACTACTGGCAAATGGTGAACACCATACCGAAAAAAAAATCGAAAATAACAATGACAAATCTATGGGTGTACAATAATAGGATTAAATAACTAACCGTGGTTGTTGTCCTCTAGATCATCGCATAATTTCCCCTTTAATTTCAACATCTTCTGGAAAAGGAAACTAGGGTTTCTAATTTGGTTAGGGTACTTTGTTTCTTATTTTAACCAATTTAATTCCATTATCCCTAATTAACCACAATTTTTCCCGCCAAAATTAAAAAGGGAATGAGAAGGGTAGTTTTTCATGTAATTACTTGGGTAGTTTCACCGCCCATAACCGAGGTCCAGATAGGTTTTTGGGAATATCATTCCTAAATTCGAAATCAGGCCCAAAAAACGATCCAAACACGCGCGTGAGTGCTCTCTTCCCGGCTGATACGCGCGCGGAGGTAGAGAACGCCTGGGACCCACAGTATTTTCTGCCTCTGTCTCTCTCTGAGGAACAGACTGCTCTGTCTCTCTCTCTCTCTCTCAGAAAGAAGGGTAAGTTTGCCATATTGAAAATATGTCCCTACCCCGACTAATTAAAACTTAAAACTTCACTTTCCTCAAATTAAAACTTAAAAACGTCCTTATTTTCAAAACAACCCTATAAAAAAACGGTGAAATTATTTTTTACTATAATTTGTATATTAACTTGATTATATACAAAAATAATTTTTAAGTTATTTTTACCAAAAATTTAACTTTAGAAAATTGATTTTTAATTTAAAATGTTTGTGGTAAAGTGAGAGTTATTAAACGGTGCATATTATAATTAGTTTTATATTTTAATCCAATACAAACATGTTAAGTAAATAGGTTAATTCGATATGAACGGATTATGAATCTAATTTTTTAATATCCACAAAAAAATCTCGTAATTCAAAATATTAGTTTTTAAAAAGGTTGTATATTTAATATATTAAATATTATAATTTGTCTTTTAAAAGTAAATATAGTTTGTTGTATTTTAATTAATTTTATATCAAACTTAAGTTTAAAAAATATTATATTTATTTACATATATAATTAAAGAAGATAAAACTGATTTTTATAGTTTGTGGACAGATTATAAACTCAGTTATTAAGTAATACAAATTAGATTTGATGATTATTATATTATAATATTTTATGTATTAACTTCAATAATATATTAGTCTAATGCCAACGGGTTAAATAAAAATGACTATATATACAGATCAACTCATTTTATGAAATTCACAAAATAATTATTTTTCATAAATAATTATTTATACAAAATAATTATTTTGTAAAATTATTTAACGTAATTGAAGGTAAAAAAATTATCTCCGCGCTACAGCGCAAATTAATCCCTAGTACATTATTATTTGAGTAGATATTTATATAAATGAACCTTAATTTGTAAGATATTACAGAATATTTTACAAAAATAAGCATTTATTTACATGATATTATATAACTAAACCTTATACATTAGATACTACATAAATGAACTTTTATTTATGAAATATTATATGAGGTATTTACATAAATAAAATTTTATTTGTAAGATATTATATAAATAAACCTTATAAATATAGAAAGCTCAATTAAATATAGAAATATTTAGCAGTTAATATGGACAAGGAATATGATCTGAAATTCTTAACACATGGATCATAACAATAAAATTAATATGCCTTAGTAAAATTACTATTAAACACAACACAATTCGTGTGTATAGCGGGGCTTAGAAAAATTAATATATTACACTTTACAAATCGTGTGTATTTTATAAAATATATTAATAAATATGTTAGTGTTTTTTATTAAAAAATAATATTACAACAATATATAGAAGAAAATGATTTGCCAGAAATATATACATCAATAACCAAATCGAAATAGATTCCAAGTAAGGATTGGATTCCTAATCAGGATATTACAAGAGAGAAGCCCATAACGAAATATAAATTCTTTTGTTTTCTCATGTTTTAGATACTCTTTTTCTAAAATTTCCGTCGAAACCTTTTTTTTATTGTCAATCAAATTTGTTTCTTTTTTATCTAAAAAGATCCAATTCAGATAAAATCAATAATATCTAACAACCAACTCATTTTTTGAAATTAAGGAAAAATGCAATATGCACATTTAAAGTTTATACCAATAAATATTTTTAAAAAATAATTTAACTTAATAGAAAATGAAAAATATTTCCTCCACGCTAAAGCGCGGGTTAATTTCTAGTTGTTGTACAGAATAACAAAACTATACAATATCTTACGGTTTCATATACCCAACTGTTTACCGAATAGTGTATAAATGAGATCAAATTTTCGAACTTTCGGTTATTTCATACATTTCATACATTAAAAAGTTTTAAAAGATCCATTTATAGTTTTATACCCAACTACAGAGAGTTTACTAGAGAGAGAACACAGAGTTTCAAGAGAGTAACAAAACTTTCGGTTATTTCATACATTTCATACAACAAAAGTTTAATAAGATCGATTTATAGCCAAACTACAGAGAGTTTATTAGAGAGAGAACACAGAGAGTTTCAAGAGAGTAACAAAGCGCAACAAGGCCATTTTCAAGCCTGTAGTTAAAAGGAGAAACCGTTAACCGAAATGCCTCCATCAACACAAATGGTTTGACCTGTGATATAAGAAGCTGCAGGCAGACACAAGAAGACCACCAGTGATGCAACTTCATTTGGCTCTCCAGCGCGACCAAGTGGAGTTCTACCGAATAATATTTTTTTGCAACTGTCGTCCTCAAGAAACTTCAAAAACAAAAAAAATGAGAAATGGTTAGACGAATTAAGGTTGCTAAATTCACACAAAAATATGTAAATTTTTTTTTCTTTTTCTTTTAATTACAGGTTGAGATTGTGGTGTCTTGACAACATTAGGTGCAACAGCGTTGGCTCTTATGCCGTCTTTTGCCCATTCACATGCTAAATTTCTAGCTAGCTGATTCAGAGCTCCTGTAAAAGAAATCAACAAAACATTAAAACAAAAAAAAATCAAAAAGAAACAACTCCTTGTTGATTAGCATGCCTTGCAATAAACGGCATCTAGTAGTAGCTGTGGTTACCTTTGGCTAGACCATAAATGGATCCTTGCTCAACTGATAAAATCCCTGAAACAGAGGACATTAAGATGATGCTTCCATAGCCTGAAGCCTTTAGGAGAGGATGTGAAAGCTGGCAAAAATGGAAAGCAGGTTCCAAGTTTGTTGAGATGTTGAAAGCGAAATCTTCTGCCACAAATTCTGTTATTGGCTTTCCTCGAAGTACGCCTACGTTATTCACCTATGTTGAACACAAAGAGGATGTTTTCAAAGTTTTCTTTAAACGAATATACATAGTTGTTCCTATATCAAGAAATCATTTAGTACTTACAAAAATGTTGAGTTTGCCATTGAACAGCGAGGAGACTTTTTCCATCAAAGTTTCTCTCTCGGGACGAGAGGTTACATCACAGACTGAGCCACTCACTTGAAACCCTTTCTTATCCCATTCGCTTAAACTTTGATTCAGCAGCGTTTCAGAGATGTCACATACATGGATTCTAGCTCCAAAACCGGCTAGCTCCTCTACTATGGCATATCTAGACATTCAAAAAACACAAATTCCTTGAAATCTTGACCATCTAAGATAGAACAATGGGTAAAAGCAGAAAGACTAACCCGATTCCGCTAGCTCCACCGGTCACAAGAGCAGTCATACCTTGAAGACTCCATCTTTTATCCATTTTTTTTTTTTTGTTTGCCTGTGAGTAGCAATGACCAGATCCCACAGATCATATTATATACAATGAATGTGGATCGGATAGCTACGAATTTATGAATTATTTTTGTATGTGTGGTTGGAAAATGTTATGCAGTCGTAAGACAGAAAAGTCAGAAATTAACTAAAACATCTAAGTCAAAAAGGTCGACGAAATACTTTTCTCAGTTGTCGTGTTCAAAAAGGTTGACGAAATACTTTTCTCAGTTGTCGTGTTCAAAAAGGTCGACGAAATACTAAATAGATTAGAGTAATGGAAACTCCATTGTTATGTAGAGTCTGGGTAACTGGTTTATTGCCATGGTAATCCAAATTGCTTTTTTTGATCAATCTATTGTTGTTTACTTGCTATTCTACGATATTAGGAGAGCTTTGTTTTAAAAAGTAAAAAAAATTGCTTTAGGTAATTGTGTAGTATCAATCTATCAACCCATAAAATCGTTGCTCTTCGAATTGCAATGTGTGGTATCTAACCATCGTGTGACTCATCTACTAATCATGTGTACCTTTTCTACTTGTTTATTCATGGTCAGTGGCAGTATTAATTTAGAGTGTATTCTGAGCATCATTTAACTAAATTATTAATATTTTACATAATTTTTTAAAAAAAAAGTATAAATATATAAAAAAAATTGGATTTCACATGGGTCAATTGACCCACCTACCACCATATTGATTATTTAACTATTTAAAATATTAATAATTTAGTTAACTATTTAACAAATATTTTAATGATATCAATGATCCTGGAAATTGGGAAAGAGTTGATAATAAATTGAGAGATTTTCTGGTTGATAAAGGTCCAATAGAAAGGCTTTCAGTTGATTATCATTTTCCAAGAGATTCTATTGGCAGAAGTTTTTTTCATTCGTCTTATACAAAAAGAATAACAAACGGGAGAAAAGCAAGATAAGCGATGGTTAATTTACTCAACAATAAAAGATAAAGTTTTTTTGTTTTTGTTGTAAGTTATTTCCGCAAGACAACACTGCTTATCAGCTGGTTACTAATGGATACAATTATTGGAGAAATATTTCACGAACGCTTAAGGAACATGAAAAAAGCCATAAGCATGTCATTTGCATGACTTAGTGAATGGATCTAGAAGTGAGATTACAGACAAGTCAGACTATTGATAAGCATATTCAAGAAGAGATTAACAAAGAAAAAAAAACATTGGAGAGATGTATTGTTGAGGATAATTGCATTGGTAAAGGGTCTAGCTAAAAAGAATATAGCATTTCATGGACGCAGCGATAAGGTTCGTGAGGATGATAATGGAAATTTTTTGGGTATGATGGAGGTATTTGCAGATTTTAATCCTGTGATCATAGAACACTTTAGACGAATTGATAAACGTGAAATTCATTATCATTATCTTAGTCACAGAATTCAGAATGAGTTGATTGAGATGCTTGGGACGGAGGTGAAAAAAATGATATTGGAGAAGATTCAATGTGCAAAGTATTTTTCGATTATTCTTGATACCACTCCTGATAGTAGTAACCGGGAACAGATGTCTCTAGTTATCCGATGTGTGGATATATCTGACACTTCACCGAAGATTCAAGAGTTTTTTTGTCATTCTTAGAAGTCAAAGATAAAACCGGAGAAGGACTTTTTGAAACCCTTCAGGATGTGCTCCTTAATCTTGGATTGAGTACTGATGACATTCGAGGACTAGGTTATGATAATGGGTCAAACATGAAAGGAAAAAATAAAGGATTACAAAAGAGGTTGCTTGAAATTAATTCAAGGGCGGTTTACATATCATGTGGCTGTCATAGTTTGAATCTTTTACTCACAGATATCGCTTCCTCGTCGACGATAGCAGTATCATTTTTTGGAATTATTCAGCGCATCTATTGTTTGTTTGACTCTTCTACAAAAAATTGAGAAGTTTTCAGAGATATTGTGAATGGTATTACAGTTAAGCCATTATCACAAACTCGTTGGGAGAGCCGCATTAAAAGCGTCAAAGCTATACAATTTCAAACTCCTCAGATATGAGATGCTTTGTTTCATTTAGCAGAAAACAGTGATAATCCAAAAACAAGAAGCGAAGCTGAGTCTCTTGCAATGAGTGAAGTCCATGGAATTGGGAGTTTTGAGTTTTTGTTTGGAATGATTATCTGGTATGAACTTTTGTTTGTTGTGAACAAAGTAAGCAAGATCTTGCAGTCAGAAGAATGGATTTTGATATTGCTCTTTCTCAACTTGAAGGTCTAGTTGCTTTTTTAAAAAACTATAGAGAGACGGGTTTTGATGCAGCAAAAGTAGAAGCTGAACGGATTTCTATTGAGATGGAAGTCGAACCTGTATTCTCTGTCAAAGCAAAACATCTTAGGAAAAGGAAACGACATTATGATGAAGAGCCTGAGAAAAATGGGGAAGATGTGATATTAGCAGCAGAAGAAAATTTCAGGATCAACTACTTCATCAAAATCGTGGATCAAGGTTTGGTTTCTCTTGAGCCAAAGTTTGATCAACTTCAAAGTTATGAAAAGACTTGGATTTTTATTTGACTTGAAGAAGCTGATGTTAGCAAATGATGAAAAGTTGATGGCTTCTTGTGTTAACCTGGAAGCTTCTGTGAAACATGGTAATCATTCTGATATTGATGGTAATGATTTATTTTTGGAGCTAAAGCTTTTAAAAGGAGCTTTACCAAAAGAGATTAAGAAAGTAGTCGAGATACTGGATTATCTGAAAAAGTTGGAAAACCGTTGTTCAAATACATGGAATGCATACCGTACAATGATGACGATTCCAGTTTCAGTTACCTTAGCATAAAGAAGTTTCTCAAAGCTAAAGCTAATAAAGTCTTATCTACAGTCTGCTATGTCACAAAAAAAATTGAATGAATTGTCGATATTGTCGATTGAAAGGAGAATGGCTGAAAAACTTGACTATACATGCTTGATGAATGAGTTTGCAAGAAGAAATGCAAGAAGAATCATATTTCAAAAATAATGTACCCGGTTTTTTTTTTGTTTTAAAATATTTTATAGTTTTTGTTTAACACATTTATAAATTATGATTTTTTTTTTATTTTTTTTTTAAATATTATAAAACGACCCATTTTTTTCTTTAGCTTGCGGCCACTTAGAACTCAGGGTCGGCTCTGCTCACAAGCGACAACTAAAATTAGAAAGCAGAATAATGTACAAATTATGCAAACGTTACACGTATTTAGAATGTGTTTCAAATGTCCAACTCATAGTCTTCTTCGTCTCTTCTGTAAAACTTCTCTTAAAACTTTTACTTTTGGAAATTACCTCTTTCACTTTCTTTACCGCCAACCAAGAGTACAATAAAGAGCAAGTGCGTCTATAATATCAAATAGAACGCAGATATTGTGCTCAGTGTTTTTGTCATTGTTTCTACCAAGAACCGTTGACTAGTATCCGAAATAGTAGGACATGTTTTAGAGTCATCGGATTTGGTCCATTTGGAATACATCAGAAAACACAAAACAGAGCAAAACAATATGCAAACACATATTCCTCTGATTCTAGTCTTACCTAAATAAATAGTTTCTTCTTCCCAACTGTTAACAAGGCCGAAAATAAACAAAAAATAATGAGTCTGTCCACACATAAAGAAGATCTGACTCAAGCATGTGGCTGATAGGAGAAGCCATTAACAGTGAGACCTCCATCAACACAAATAGTTTGACCAGTAATGTAAGAAGCAGCAGGTAGACACAAGAAGACCACTAGTGATGCAACTTCATTTAGCTCTCCAGCGCGACCAAGTGGAGTTCTACCAAACAATCCTTCCTTGAAACTGACGTCCTCAAGAAACTTCAAGAAACAAAAAAAAATGAGAGATGGTTAGAGGAATTAAAGTTGCCAAATTCACACAAAAATCTGTAAAAGCTTTTTTTCTATTTCTTTTAATTACAGATTGAGACTGTCGAGTCTTGACAACATTAGGTGCAACAGCGTTGGCTCTTATTCCGTCTTTTGCCCATTCACAAGCCAAATTTCTAGCTAGCTGATTCAGAGCTCCTGTTAAAGAGATCAACAAAACATCCTTGTTTATTAGCTTGCCTTGCAATGAACAGCATCTAGTAGTAGCTGTGGTTACCTTTGGTAAGACCATAAATAGATCCACAGTCAATTGATACAATCCCTGCAACAGAAGACATGAAGACGATGCTTCCATAGCCTGAAGCCTTTAGGAGAGGATGTGAAAGCTGGCAAAAATGGTAAGAAGCCTCCAAGTTTGTTGAGATGTGCAAAGCGAAATCTTCTGCCACATATTCTGTTGTTGGCTTTCCGTGTAGTACGCCCACATTGTTCACCTATGTTGAACATAAATAGGATGTTCTTTTTGAAACAATTTGCTTAGTTGTTTCTAGCAAAGATCATTTACTACTTACAAGAATGTTGAGTTTGCCATCGAACAGTGAGGAGACTTTTTGCATCAAAGTTTCTCTCTCGGGACGAGAGGTTACATCACAGATTGAACCACTCACTTGAAACCCTTTCTTTTCCCATTCGCTTAAACTTTGATGAAGCAGAGTTTCAGATATATCACATACATGGATTCTAGCTCCAAAACTAGCTAACTCTTCTACTATGGCATACCTAGACTTTCAAAAAGCACAAATTCCTTGAAATCTTGACCATCTAAGATAGAACAATGGGTAAGCAGAAAGACTAACCCGATTCCGCTGGCTCCACCGGTCACAAGAGCAGTCATACCTTGAAGACTCCATCTTTTATCCATTCTTTTGTTTGCATGTGATTAGCAATTACCAGAAATGCCACATACTATATTATATACAATGAATGTGGATAAGATAAGTACAAATTTATGTTTGTATGTGTGGTGGAAAAATGTTATGCAGTCGTAAGTTAGAACATAACTAAAAAAGCTAAGTTAGTGATTCCTCGCAAAAATGCCTTTTAAAGTCAAAATTGTCGACCAAACACTTTATTCATTTGTCTTGTTCAATTACTTCCCTCACAAGAGACAAATGAAATTAGAAATCAGAATATTGTACAAGTTATCTAAACGTTCCACGTATTTAGAATTTCAAATGTCCAATACATCGATAGGCTCCTTCGTCTCTTCTGTAAAACTTCTCTTAAAACCTATACTTCTTGGAAATTACTTCTTTCACTTTTTTTTACCGCCAACAAAGGTTTATAATATCAAATACAACGCAGACGTTGTGCTGAGTGTTATTTTTGTCATCGTTGAAGACATGTATCCGAAATAGTAGGACATGTTTTAGAGCCATTGGATTTGGAATACATCATGAAACACAAACACTGAAACAGAGCAATACAGTTTTTTTATGTAGACAAAACAGAGAAAAACAGAGCAAAACAGAGCTAAAAAACTAGCGCATTGCAATACCTTTTCATTTCTTCAAAGCACGGCTGAATACAAATTGAAGACAAGATTTTGGTTGTCCTTTGTAGAGAATACAATAATATCTGTTATTAATGAGTCTGTCCACAAATAAAGAAGATCTGACTTAAGCATGTGGTTGATAGGAGAAGCCATTAACAGTGAGACCTCCATCAACACAAATGGTTTGACCTGTGATGTAAGAAGCAGCAGGTAGACACAAGAAGACCACTATTGATGCAACTTCATTCGGCTCTCCAGCGCGACCAAGTGGAGTTCTACCAAACAATCCCTCCTTGAAACTAACGTCCTCAAGATACTTGAAGAGACAAAATTGAGATGATTAGGAGGTATAGATATTGTTACATTTACAAAAAATAAATAAATAATGGTAAACGTTTGTCCTTTTTTTTTATTACAGGTTGAGACAGAGGAGTCTTGATTATATTAGGTGCAACAGCGTTGGCTCTTATGCCATCTTTTGCCCATTCACAAGCCAAGTTTCTAGCTAGCTGATTCAGAGCTCCTGTAAGAGACTTGTATTAGGAATCATCAACAAAACAAAAGAATCTCCTAGTTGATTAGTTAATCTTGCATGTAGTTTAAAAGTTTGGTTACCTTTCGTTAGACCATAAATGGAGTTACCGTCAATGGATACAATCCCTGCCACAGAGGACAGGAACACGATGCTTCCATAGCTTGAGGCCTTTAGGAGAGGATGTGAAAGCTGGCAAAAATGGAAAGGAGGTTCCAAGTTTGTTGAGAAATGAAAAGCGAAATCTTCTTTGTCATATTCTGTTGTTGGCTTTCCGCGAAGTACTCCCACGTTGTTTACCTTTATGTTAACACAAGAAAAGGATTTTACAAAGTTTTTCATTTAACTAATATGCTTTAGGTGTTTGTTTACTTAGATCATTTTACTTACGAAAATGTTGAGTTTGCCATCAAACAACGAGGAGACAGTTTGCATTAACGTTTCTCTCTCAGTGTGCAAGGATACATCACAAACTGAGATACTCACTTGAAGAAACCCTTTGTTTTTCCATTCGCTAAAACTTTGATTAAGCAGTGTTTCAGATATGTCACATACATGGATTTTAGCACCAAAACTAGCTAACTCCTCTACTATGGCATACCTAAAAATACCACAAACTTAAACTTTAGATTATTCAGGATGGTATATAAGTGGAACAATTGGTAAAAGAAGTGATATAGATTGAACAGAGAAGAAAGACTAACCCGATTCCGCTGGCTCCTCCGGTCACCAGAGCAGTCATACCTTCAAGACTCCATCTTTTAGCCATTTTTTTTTTTTTTTGCATGTGACCAGGAATGCCATAGGTTATGGTATAGACAATGAATGTGGATCAGATATGTGTGAATTAACGAGTACGTTTGTATCTGAATGGTGGAACATGACTAAAATATCTAAGTTAGTGGTCCCAATCAACAATTACTTTCTATCAAGACAACAAACTTTACTCATTTGTCTTTTCCAATAACTTCATTTTATTGGAAAATTTGGTAAAATATTCCACGTGCACATGTTCCTTTCATACTACTTTTGGTGTGACTAGTGATGATATTTCTTGCTCATCTTCTTCTTAGGTTTCTTGTTCATTCCAATTTACAAATATCCAAAGCATATCCCATTAATGTATCACTTTAGAATCTTATTAAAAGAAAGAAAACAAAGATCAAGAAACAGAAAACAGAGCAAAACAATAAACAAAGGTCTGACTCAAGCATGTGGTTGATAGGAGAAGCCATTAACAGTGAAACCTCCATCAACACAAATGGTTTGACCAGTAATATAAGAAGCTGCAGGTAAACACAAGAAGACCACTAGTGATGCAACTTCATTAGGTTCTCCAGCGCGACCCATTGGAGTTCTATTGAACAATCCTTCCTTGTAACCAACATTATCAAGATACTTCAAGAAACAAAAATTAAGAGATGATTAGAGATATTAAAAGTTGATAAATTCACACAAAAAAAATATGTACAAAATTGTCTTTTATTTAGTTATATTACAGATTGAGACAGAGGAGTCTTGATAACATTAGGAGCAACAGCGTTGGATCTTATGCCGTCTTTTGCCCATTCACATGCCAAATTTCTAGTTAGCTGGTTCAAAGCTCCTACAAGAAAAGAAATCAACAAACCATATATATAATATAAGACTTCTTGTTGATTCTTCAGTCTTGAACTTAGAAGTGACTGTGGTTACCTTTGGTTAGACAGTAAATGGATCCACAATCAACTGATACAATCCCTGCAACAGAAGACATGAAGACGATGCTTCCATAGCCTGAAGCCTTAAGGAGAGGATGTGAAAGCTGGCTAAAATGGAAAGCAGGTTCCAAGTTTGTTGAGATGTGGAAAGTGAAATCTACTTCTACATATTCTGTTGTTGGCTTTCCTCGAAGTACGCCCACGTTATTCACCTGTGTTGAACACAAAGAGGATGTTTTCAAAGTTTTCTTTGAACACAAAGAGGATCATTTACTACTTACAAGAATATTGAGTTTGCCATCGAACAGTGAGGAGACTTTTTGGATCAAAGTTTCTCTCTCGGGACGAGATGTTACATCACAGACTGAGCCACTCACTTGAAACCCTTTCTTTTCCCATTCACTTAAACTTTGATTGAGCACAACTTCAGAGATGTCACATACATGGATTCTAGCTCCAAAACTAGCTAATTCTTCTACTATGGCATACCTAGACATTCAAAAAACATGAATAGAAATCTTGACCATCCAAGTTGTTAAACAGAAACAGAACAATGGGAAAAAGCAGAAAGACAAACCCGATTCCGCTGGCTCCACCGGTCACAAGAGCAGTCATACTTTGAAGACTCCATCTTTTATCCATTTTTCTTTGTTTGCCTGTGAGTAGCAATGACCTGAGAAGATGCCACAGATTGTAGAGATATACAATGGTTGCAGCAATAATTATTAGTTTTCTGAATTTCCAATAGACACCCTCGTACTTATTTATTCTCTTCAACTGAACCCAACTGATTTTCTTTTTTTTTTAAATCAAGAAAGACCCGAATTGCTCTGGTGGTTTAGTGGTTCATTTAGTACCAAACTCTGAGAGAACAAGAACAGAGGCTTAATAGATTTGGTAGCTGAATGGTTATCGCACGTGGATATTGTGACAGAAACGTAGTTAATTATTGGTAATGAAGATTTAGAAAAAGCTTCTTGATTAATTAAGGCCAAGAATATGGTCTTCTTGATTTATGTTGTGTATTAATAAAATCATAATAGTTTTCTCTCATATGCAATGCAAATACTAAATCCTTACTTAGTAAACTGAATTTAATGCCTGAGCCCTCCTTGTGGCAAAATAAATTGCCAACACAGACTTCAACAAAACTTCATGAATCCAAATTCATCAAACGAAAATGATTTTCTTAGTTGAGATGTACCCAAGTTGGAACAAAATCATTAGAATATGAAAAGATTAACTCTCATCCATTGCATCCTTTGAAACCGAGTCCTCAAGTGCCTCTAGGAATGAGTCAACTGTGAACTTATCTGCAGTAAGAGTTAAAAACTATTTTTATAAAAAAATGAAACAGAAGCTTGATGATGCCTTTGAAATTCGATTGCATGAGTCTGACTTACATTTACTTGGGTCAATACCGAACTGAGTCAAATCTATTTGTCCTGTGCGAAGAACCTAGATAGAGCGATTAAAGTTGAGTCAGAATATCAAGCCAAGAACGGGAACAACATTGTCACTGAGGGGCTTACATAGGTAAATGCATCTACTTGTTGACGAAAAGGAGGGCTCTGCATCAACTCCAGTATATCTTCTGCCCTACAGTGACCCTGTGATAAGTCTTTGAGTTAGTCTAGTGCATGACCATTGTAATATAGCGTAGGCGGCTTGTAGTGGACCGTAGCTGTGTTAATAGCTCCGCAACACTAGTTGCACATAAGCTAGAGAGCTAACAGGTTAATAGGAAGAATTCTGGATTTGTCTAGGATCAAGTTAGAGACTTCTCTTGTTAATCATGTCAAAGTCATTCTAGTCTCAAACAATGTACAATTCATCGACATATATAAATTTCAAGAATATGACTCTGCTTGCACCACGCAACAATTTGTACATACCTCAGGTAAATGCGAAGACAATCTTTCTTGTACCGGTAACATCTCAAGCAATGGCATAATCAACTCCGGCTTCAAGATATCCCCTAATACTAGGCCTTCAGAAGATGGAAACATGAGAGGATAATGTATTAATGGACCAAGTAAGAGAGAAATGACAACAAAAGATGAAAACAAACAATTGTTCATAGAGCAAGTTGGGCACTGCCATCCCTAAGCCATACAGAAAAAGAAGTTTAATATATTTACCTTCGTCTTCATTTCCCGCAATACCTAAAAAAATACCATACCTGAATGAGTATAAGAGAGAAACTAGAAAAGCTTATTAACAGGAGTACCAAAAGATAGAGAACTGTACCTGCAGGGCCAGAAGAGAGGTTGTTCAGAATTCTTTGCAGGTCTGCCAGCTTAACTGGTTGAGACGAAGATGACACGTCACTAACCTCTGTAGACACATTTGGTACAACCAAGTTTCCAGCTCTATGAAGGATGAATAAAATTTAAATAAGCCATTGTGTTTCAAATAAGCTAATACCACTTACAGCAAATTAATAGTAGTAGTATTCAACTCCTAATCAAGTATATCCTCCGATATATTCACATGATTAATAAATAATTGGTAGGCCAGTCTTTACATGACCCTGAAATTTAAACTTCAAGTATCTCAACATCTAATTGGCCCCTGGTTATCCATGTCTAGACAGAGCCTGGTCACAAGTAGGATGCAAGATAACAAAAAAAAAAACTGCAAGACAAGATCTGTTTCTTGAAGCTGACCAAAAAGCAACCAACACATTTCTGGAGATAAAATGGTACGGTAGTTTACATCCTTTGTGGAACGGAGGCAAAACCAAAGTCAGAGTAGCACTTCGACATAATCATTACCTAGATGAAACATCATCTTCGGCCAGGACAGCATCTGCATGTCCTTCTTCATCGAGAAACTCTGGTGCACAGAAAGTTTATTAGATTGAGATTCATCTAACAATTCATTGCTTTCACTAGCAAGAGCAAGTGTTACAAACATAAAGATGGTGATGAATATAATAATTATAAGCTCATATGCGAATTAATGCCGACTCTTACAGGCAGTATCAATAAAAAAGGGTACAATATGTGGAAGTCATATGTTCTAAGACAAGTCTTAGTGTGCTAAAAAATCTAAACACCTTTTACCTCCTAACTTCAATCCTTTCAGGATACGTGAACCAACAATAACAAGCAAGGAACTGAACATATATTGCAGATCTGATCTTATCATATTTATCAAAAACTTCTTACCATTCAGTCGATAGTGGCATTAATTTAATTGTTAGTAAGGACTCAATATTCATTTGAGCAGGGAATTTAAAAACTGCAGGTCCTTAGATGGTGCAAAAAACTTTTAGATTTTATGAAATGAAAACATGGAAAAGATAACCAGCATTCTACTACCTAGGAGCCAACCTATCCGTTGCAATTTTGTTTTACAGACCCTATGTAGGCAGGGGAACCAGTTTAGTTGTCTAGGCATCGATTAATATCTCTAAGCAGAACCTGGTGACTGATCGCCCAAAGCAAGATAGGAAGCCTCTCTTTAAGAAAGTTCAATATTCTCATAAAAATGAATTTACTTGATACTTCATTGATCTTGGTTTGATTAACGTGATTTGATTTGATGTTGAATTGGTTCTTTGACTTGATTTAATAGTATATAGTTACGAGGTAGTTTCATTATGCTATAATGTATATTGTTTTCTTTTATTACCACCTAAGTTTTCTTGAAAAATAATTTAACATCTAGATGAACAAATAAACCCTGACACTAAGTCATCTTAATGATGGAAAAAATTAAGTGACTAATGAAAAGGAACTGTGGATCATATTTTTTGGAATGAGAAGCTCCTTATATGAATTTAGTACCAAATCCGTTTGACACATAAATCACACACAAAAAAAAAAAAATTGATATGAGAGTATGCAGGAAACTATAGTTAAGGATAAGGAAGATAGTTCGCTGATCCACGAAATTTTGAAGGTTAAACAGCAAAAAAAGACATTGGTACCAGGATAGAATCATATCCTATAATGTTTTTAACAAGGTAGGAATGTTACATGCCTAGTGGTTGATTGAGGTATTGATTGACCGAAGAGCACAGCTCTGCATCACCTTCAGCTTTCGGCTCCTGCAAAATACGTTACAAGAAGAAGTTCCCAAAAACAAATAAGATCAAAGATCAACAATGCATCAAGATGAAAGTGATTAGGTAAAACAAGAATACACAAGATGAAAGCTAACAAGTGACCTGCATCCAAAAGAAGAACTTGCGGTCATCAGTGTTGAACTTCAGAATGTACACCCTGTCTGATGATTGATTAACCTAAACAGAAAGAATTATGCTATGGTCACAAGCCGAGATTAATAACTTCACATCCTAGTAACCTCAATTGAATGGGCATACCTTTTCGAATAGAGCTTCATCAGGGAAAACAATTTGATCCTACAAATGGTATCGTTAAGGAGAAAACTTCGAAAATTGGAGCAACAATTAATAAGTCCCTAGATGGATCAACCTCAGGAAGTTAATAGTCTCGGGACACCTAATCCACTGGCCTAGCAAAGAAAACTTGAAGAGCCTTTAATCTATTTCTAAAATTTAATAAGAGAAGTGCATAGGATACATCTTCTACCGCATTCTGGCTTCGATCAAGCCACTGGAAATGAACCAGTCCCTCTTCACCCTAAAAGAGAGGATTAGAAGAAAACAAATCAGATTAATTTTGCAGAGAACCAGTAATGTCCACTGGAAAAGCTGATACACTTCAACGATTAATGGAACAAATCAGATTCATAAGTGATACTAAGAGTGTTGACATTACCCTAGCAATGCGGACAAGTCCTTTCCGTGTGTCAGGGACAACTCTTGTTCCCTGCAAAGTCATCTTACCAGCACGAAACTCAATCATGATTTCCTGCCAAATTTAGTCCAAACGTCAGTAGAAGAACGAAATAAGATCCGCACAATAAAAACTTTAAGAGGGATTTATCAGTTTTCATGAAGTCTTGGATTTTCATGGATGATCATCATAAACACAGGAAAGAAAAAATGAAAAAGCTTCAGGAATCGAGAGAAACAAACAAAGCAATTAAGCAAAATCCAAAGAGAAGGTAAAGAGAAAAACAGACAATAAAGAATCTGTTGTAGTCAGCTTATCATTGATCAACGTAGAAAAAGCTACACATTTAAAATCAATCCATGATAAACTACAAGGAAATAGGAGATAAACTGTAGAGAGTTAAGCTAAGCTAAGATTATCACCAATCACAGATAAAACGGAATGGTCAAGGATAATTAGAAATTAAATATTACCGTCGGAATAGCACTAGCCACGGCGGCGACGGTGGTTACTTTAGCTCGGCTGCACAAAAAAAAATTCCCAAAATCAGTTTGGTGAGATTTTAAAACCCTAGGAGCGAAAAGTAATTAAGAAGAGCGATTCAATAGGCGGAGGAGGAGGAGGAATGGCGTGAGGAATTTCACTCACCGGAGATACAAAGGGTCGACGGACAACGAAATCGGCGGAGAGGAGGAGAGAACTTTTTTCTCTTTTTTTCTTTTGTCTTTCGAGAACTTTTTTTCTTATGTAACCGAGAAGTTTTAGTTTTTTTATTTGTTTTGCATTTAATTACGTTTATTTACATTATTCGAGGATAATAGTTAGGCTAATTAGACTCTTTCTTCAATTTCTCAAACAATAATCATGTGCTGTAGAAAACTGATATTTCTTGAATGATTCGTAGAGATGGTTCACCAAATAATTCAGCACAACGGTAAATACTAATTGTTGTTTGTATTTTTTTTTTTTTTTTTGCCTCTTGATGTCATTGAGAAATAAAGGAATATATGGCAAACAATATTTGCCAAACCTTGAAGTTTTCTGACAATTTGCTTTATGGATGGTCATTATTAGTCTAAACAGAAATGTTGTGGGAGTTTCTTTAGTTGAAGCCTTAATTTGGCTGATAGGAGAAGCCATTGACAGTGAGACCTCCATCAACACAAGAGGTTAGAAAAACTATAGAAGACACGTAGAACGATAGAACAGCCTATATATATAGTGGCTGAGCCATAATTTTTGTTATTGAAGACATAAATAAATGAATAGGGATATATGTGATTTTATGAATAGGAACATTAATATTAAACTTTAATAAATTTACACCAATTTTAAAAAAATTATTGGAGCGAATGATCTCAACTTAATATATGTGCCTCCGTCACTGTATAATATATGTATTTATAATCATCAATGTCAAACGAGATACTACCACCTCAGGGAATTCTTGCATAAATTTTCAAAGCTAGAGACTAAACAATACTTTCAACTCCAGCATTAGCTAGAAGAAACGAGTGTTTGCCAAACGCGTCTGCTCCTGCTGACTCGCCTTTTATCTTTGCTCCAAGAGCTTCTTGGCAACAATAACAATACCTTCAACTCCAGCATTAGAAACTTCTTGGCAACAATAACAATACCTTCAACTCCAGCATTAGAAACGAGTGTTTGGCAAACCAAAACTTCTTGTTACATAAGAATCATTAGATCATATGGTCGTAGTATAGATGATTTATATTAAATACTTTTTAAGCTCTGAACTACTAGAGCATCTCCAATGGGTTTTTTAAGAGATTCTTAGCAATTAATTGATCAAAAATAAAGAAAAATAATAATTAATGCTAGAACTAGTTTTTATTTAAGAATTTTTAAAATCTCTAAGAATCTGTGACGTAGTTGGTGGAAGATTTTTAATTTTTTTTGTTAGTTTTTTTTTCATTTATATTCTCTTTCATTTTGCTTTATTTTTAAGAACGCTATTTGGATTTTATCATTGGAAGATCATAAAATTAAGAACTTTTATTGAGGTTTTTATTTAAGAAATCTTCAAAATTATTATCAAAATAATGGTAAAAATCATAAGAAGTTCTTACCATTAGAGATTGTCTTATATGGCTGTGGGTTATATTTGAAAATCTGGGATGATTAAATTATTCTGATATTCTTTTTTCTATTTTTTGGACCAATTAAGACATATACCATTATCACATATGCTTCATTTCCTTTTTAAAAGTTGATTAGAAAAGAAAAAGTAAGATTAATTAACAAAAAAAATCCACATAGGAAAAGGTAAGGATAAATCGCTTCTTGTATATAAAAGACATGCAAGATTGGTTCAAAACCAATTCCCTAACTTTCTGCTTACGGAGCCCTCCTCCCAAGTCGTTTTTTTCTTCCTTGCAAGATCACCAATGATAATGCCCCATCTTCCACACGAGTTGGTAGAAGAAATACTATCTAGGGTTCCAGCCACATCTCTGAAACGATTACGATCTATTTGCAGACAATGGAAGTCTTTATTCAAAGACAGAAGATTCACTGAAAAGAACTTTCGTAAAGCTCCAAAGCAGTCCTTGGTTCTATTAGTGATGTTGATGGAATTAATAACTTTCTCGATAAGCGACAGTCTCAACGTCGCTGATCTATCGTCTATAGAGTTTAAGGTTCCATTTGGCCTAGAGAATTCTCTTTCTAATTTAGAAAAAGTAGTTGAAGTTTTTCATTGTTGTAGTAACGTATGTATACGCACGAGGGGGGTAAAACGGTAATATGAGAGGTAGAGCTCGGAGATCCTTGTTTGATGAGTTTCAGCTCGATAAAGAAGATATAGGCGAGGTAATTCGCACAATCTATGCGAAGTAGACGTCGAGTAAACACTTAGAGGGTTATGAAATCTTTGTTATTAATTGCTCTACGGTCAAAATCTGATCCGGTAATAAATGAATTTACAAGACTATTTATACTACAGGTTAAATCGGGACAGGGTAGCTTAATGGTCGGTCAGGTCTATCTACGTGACCGCCTTATGAAATATCGCGATGGCGAGTTGATGAGAAGGATCATAAAATGTCGATGTAAAAACGACCTCGTTTTAGCTTCCAAGATGGGCCTTCGACATCGCTTAAGCCTTAAGGAAGGATTATTGGGCCAAGGCTAAATTATCAAAAGTGGGCTGTGTGCTCAGCCCATATCCAACAATTGCGGTGGTTTGTTGTTATGCACCACCAGCCTTGTTAAACTCGTGGTTTGGAATCAGTGTTTAGGAGAAACGAGATGGATCCAACCCATAAGGGATTACAACAGATGGTCTAGGTATTCTCTAGGTTACGAAAACAACAAATCTTGCCATAGCTACAAAATTTTGAGTTATCACCACGTAAACGACAATCTTGTTGGGTATGAGATTTATGATTTTAACTCTGATTCATGGAGGGTGCTTGTTGATGTCGTTGTTTTGGACTGCTTGATAGAACCATCAAAGGGTGTGTCTTTGAAGGGAAATACTTAATGGGTTGCTGTAGATGAAACGGAACTCTCTAAATACCTACTAAGTTTTGATTTTACAAGAGAGAGATTTAGACGTCTGGTTCTTCCAATGAATGAGAAAACTGCTGCCATGGCTCTATCAGTTGCCAGAGAAGAATAACTATCAGTGTTACATCGGATCTATGGTGCATCAAAGATGGACATGTGGGTGACTAATAATATTGATTCTGAAGCTGTGGTGTGGAGCAAATCCTTTACAATTGATATACAACCTATTCATCTCGAAAATTTGACTTATATTCCCTCAAGTTTTGTGATGGACGAGGAGAAGAAAGTGGTTGTGTGTTGTAATGCAAGTAAAGAGCCAACTAGCGTGCAGAAGGAATACGTTATTGAAAAATATCACACAGAATCCCCTTTTATAGTAGAAACTACACAGGTATCATGTTGCCCATTGATTTTCAGTTATGTTCCAAGTTTTGTTCGAGTCCAGCAAGTGAGGCGAAAAAGGAAAGAAAGAAACTAGCTTGTCGATATAATAAGAAAGTGATTTGTTGCACCTCCACTTTTTTTTCTGTTTTTGACTCTATTTTTTTTTTTTTGAAGACATTAGTTGTCGTTTAATTAGTTTAATGAATTAATCTATTATATATATATATAATGTATAGTTCCTTTCTTCGATCTTTGCATTACATGCAAGTTGGTGACTGAAACAGCAACCAATTTGTTTTATGGATATTGTCTTCATCTTTCATTTCTGTGTCTATTGTGTTTTGAGTTATAAATTCAAAGACAAAATGAACAACACTATAACTTTATGAAAGTGAGACCTCCATCAACACAAAAGGTTTGACCTGTAATATAAGAAGCTGCAGGTAGACACAAGAAAACCACAAGTGTTGCAACTTCTCTCGGTTCTCCAACACGACCAAGTGGAATTTTACTGAGCAAACTCTCCTTGAAACCCACGTCATCTAGATACTGAAAAGGATTTGTAAGAAACATCATGACTAGAAGACTTAAATAGCTTCGAAGTTGTTAAAATTCAAATGTAAAACTTTTTTTTTTTGGAGAGTTTCAGATTTAACCAATATTTCAAAGTCAAACACCAAACTAACATCTTTTTTTTTCTCTCTCCAACTTTTGTCATTTTCTCACAAATTTATCTTTCCCACTTAAACTATTAACGAAAATGCCATTATACATCTATTATTTCGATTTTTCTTTAATTTGGCTAAAGTCTCCTTGGACCTTCTAAATACCTTTTAATTACGAGAATGCCATCTTCTTCAATTTCTTCAACCACCATGAAAATGGAATAAATGCTTCTCTACCAATTTTAAAGCTGTAATAAGTAAATATCTGAGCTCATTCACTCATAACCTTCCCCATTCTTTCATAATTTCTTCTCCAAAACATCTGGGCTAAGTTACAATGCCAAAAGTCATGCATTTTCGGTGATTTCTGGTTACTTGACATCTGGGTTGCTTATTTTTGGTGAAATCCTGAGTTCTGGGTGCTTAAAAGAACTGTAGCCGAGCTCAATTTTGTTAAAGGTAATCGTCGCACTTCAATTTCTCCATATTTAAGTTTTCATATCGCGAAAGTAGACTTCTCGTGAAGTATACTGAAGTCTACTAGTCAACATAAGGTTATTTTTGCAATTGAATTTTTAAAAGTAGACTTCATTAAACCTCACGAGAAGTCTACTCGATATCCTTTGAAAACAAAAAAAAAGCATAGTAGACTTCATTTGAAGGCTTAAGAAGTCTACGAAAGAAAAGAGGTTATTTTTGTAATTGACCGTATTTTGACTTTTTAATGTAGACTTCTTTCTAAAGTCTACTGTTTACGTCTGCACAAGAAGTCTACTTTTAAGTTACTTTTAAGTTACTTCTGTAGTTTGACCAAAAACGTATAGGTCATTTTAGTGTTTGACTAAAGTTTTTTAAAAAATAAAAAATTCAGAAAACTCCGGAAAGCTGCAGTAGACTTCAAAAAGAAGTCTAAAAATTGTAGACTTCTTTGGGAAGTCTACTTATATTTTTCGGTCAAACTTAGAAGGAATCTTTTTTTTAAGTAGACTTCACAGTGAAGTCTACTAAAGATTGTCAATTGCAAAAATAACCTATTTTTTTCGTAGACTTCTATTGAAAAAGTAGACTTCAAAAGTAGACTGTCAGAGAAGTCTACTCTTACATGAAGTCTACAATAGAATTCTACTTTGTTAGTCAATGGCTTGGTCAAATGCTAAAATAACGTTTTTGGCCGGAAGTCTACTTCTGAAGTCTACTGAAGGAAAAGTCAACGGATTGGTCAATTGTAAAAAAAACCTGTTTTTTAGTAGACTTCTTTAGTAAACTTCACTATGAAAAAGTAGACTTCTCCTCCAGTCTACGTTTGAAGTCTGCTTTAGAAGTCTACTTATTGCATTTTTTTTTAAAACGCGTTTTAGGCAAATTTATAAAGTATTTTTTAAATTTTTTGGATTAGAATTGCTTCTTAGTAAGTGATTGAACTACCCAGTGAATTTCATTTCATTTTATTCGATATTTATTGTTGAATCAAAAATTTCGATTTTTAAGCTACTTAGCTCATCAAAGTAGACTTCAGTAGACTTCTCCTAAAGTCTACTAAGGAAGTCTAATTAGGAAGTCTACTATTTGTATTTATTTTAAAAACGCTTTTCAAAAATATTTATAATGTTTTTAAAAATTTTTAGGTTTGGATATGCGTGTTAGCAAGTGGTTGAACTACTCAATGATTTTCATTTGATTTAAGTCGATAATTAGTGTGAAATCAATTTTTTTTATTTATAAGCTAGTTAGCTTGTAAAAGTAGACTTCTCCAGCAATCTACGGATGAAGTTTGCACACGAAGTCTAATTGCTAGAAAAATTTGTGTTCTATGTGTTTGCCATAATTTGGTTTACAAATATGTTTGCTAATATGATTTTTTGTGTTTTCTGATATAGAATAGTTTAATTGAAAATAGGAGAAGGAAAAGAACTTGTATTTTGTGTAATGTTTTTGTATTCTTGTTTACAAGTTAACATTTATAGTACATACAAAATTAAATCACACAAGTTGATATTACATACAAAATTAAATTGATCTCTCATCATTACTTGCAACAGAAGTAATGAAAACGTTTTCATAAAGAACTGTGAGAAAAGGCCTAACGGATCATCATCTTCAGCAAAAAAAGGCTCAAGGACTTCAAATTCTCTGCAATCTCTGTCTCCAACTGATCTCCTTTTTCAAAAAGCTTCTCTCTGTCTTCCAGAGACCAAAAAATTGGAGTTTTTTTTTTTGTAGTTTTACCCTTTGTAGTTCTCTGTTTTCGTTTTGTGACCGGCTCTTATTCATATTAGGAATTTTTTTTTTAGTTTGTACACTAGGAGTAACAACTTCATTGAATCATACTTCAGATTCCAAATTTTTGGTATGGTCCATCTCAAACCGGAAACAAAACCAAAACCGGTTTTACCATCAATATGAACTTACAAGCAATATAGTAATGGTGTAAAAGCTGAAGCATCTTTACTCAAACGAAAACATTTGAATAAATTATTAGGCAACGGACCTTCCCGATATAAAATACTCAGCGGTAGAGGCTCTCCGACCTCAGACTCTCTGCAATCTCTGTCTCCCACCGATCTCCATTCTCAAGAAGCTTCTCTTTGTCATACAGAAGTTCCTGCAGATAGAAAAACATAAAAGAATCAGAATGCCATTTATGGAATAATACAAATCTGAACTTCAGGATCATGGACAAAGGATATGTCTCGATCTAATGTTTACCTCCTGAGTCTCGCTTGCAAACTCAAAGAAGTACTTGAGGGTCAGCGACAAACCCCGGACCATTTCAGTGAGAAATAGGGTGTTGATGCTCCGTTCAAAGACTGTAAAAGTAAAAAAACGTCAGGAACCGCTCATACTTAGAGAAGGAAAACAAAGAGAATACAAAGTTTAGAAAAGTGTCTGGATCATAAAGCTTACCAGTACTCCAGTCCTTGGAGATCTCCTTAGCTAGTTGCTCAGCTTCTTCATCATCTGTTTGTTACAGAGGCAAACCATTAGTCACATATATGCCTGAGAAGTCATAACCTCAATTAACCAAGAAAACCAAAACAACAGCAAGAAAATATGCATACCTTTTTTGGATCCATAGGATATAGCACGAGACTGTAGGCCACAGAGATGAGATCCCTGTAAAGCTTGCCCTGAAAAAACCTATCAACGAAGACAAGGCAGACGTTATATACAAGAAGAATACCATAGCGATAGCATACCCACCAAAAGAAGCTAAAGAGAAATTAAAAGTTAACTATCATAACGCTCTCTCAGTTAAAGGACTCGTTTTTGCAGAGATTAAACTAAATCCCTAAATCTTAAAATTCGAAGTGACTTAAAGGAAGACAACAAAATTTCACCTTGTGATCCAACGCAAGATTGATCAAAAGACGAACCTTGAACGAGGAGGAGAAGCTCCTCCACGCGCCACCGCCGAGACTGAGCCGTTCACCGCCACTGCCCTAATCCGAACTCCAGTTCACTCTCATCCGGAAGATTAATCATCCCCACTTCCGATTCTAACCTGTCACGCATGTCAATTAGTGCCGGCGACCAACGAGAAATCCGGCAACGAGGAGGGAACCAGCTGCGGCAATGAAATCGCCCCTGAGATGTCGCAAACAACATGGTAGCACCGGCGAGCTTGAGCTCAGCAGAGAGAAGGTGAGGGATCTCCTGGTCAGCCTTATGCTTAGGGTAGAGAAAAAATGAGAAGAGAGGCGAGAGAGGCGAAGAGGCCGGCGAGAGAGGCGAGTGATGCAGTTTTTTTTTCCACTAACTAATGACTAATATTTTTTGGTTTAATTTTTGGTTAGGAAAATTATTTTCGGTTTAATTTCTAGTAAAGATAATTTATTCGGTTTAGCAGACTTTCATATTGAAGTCTACAAGTAAATGTAAATCCTAAATCAAATATTTTGTTCTTTTTAATTTGAAACTATAAATTTAAACTTATGAATATAAAAAATAATTTATATACATTAGTATTACTAATATCTAATTTATGATTATAAATTTGAAACTAATATTATTTTTATAATTTTTAAAATTAAATTTTATGATTTAATTATACAGTAGATTTCATGAGCTATGTTAAAAGTTTACTAGTAGACTTTTATTACTTTAAAGTAGATTTCGTCAAAGTTTAAACTGTAATTAGGACATCCGTTTTTTTATTTGGTCATACAGGAGTATATTGTCTTTTCACTACCCTTTTTATTTTTTCTAAACATTATATTAGGGATCTAATTTTGTATTCAAAATCAAATTTTAGATTATTTTTAGCAAAAACCTCTTTCTTTTTTATTATAGGTTGAGACGGAGGAGTCTTGATAACATTAGGCGCAACCGCGTTGGCCCTTATCCCATCTCTAGCCCACTCGCACGCCAAATTTCTAGCTAGCTGATTCAAAGCTCCTGTATTTATTATTTACACACAAATTAAACACATGCTTGGAGTCATTCAAATCACAAATATATACAAGTCTTAAATGGTGTTACTCCTAGTAATGTTGTGCCTGTATATGTGTACCTTTAGTTGCACTATAGATGTATCCAGAGGTTGCTGATATAACCCCTGCAATAGAGGAAATAAAGACGATGTTCCCAAATCCTGAAACTTTTAGGAGAGGATGTGAAACCTGGCTAAGATGATAAGCAGATTCCAAGTTTGTTGAGATATGGAACTGAGAAATCTTTAGCATCATACTCTAATGTTGGCTTTGAGCGGATCCCGCCAACGTTGTTTACCTATGTTGAAGAAAATGAGTCTTTAAAATTTGAACTCGATCGATTTTTTGAAGATCAATTATACTTACGAGAATGTTGAGCTTGCCATAAAACAAAGAGGAGACGTTTTGCATCAATGTTTCTCTCTGGGGACGAGAGGTTACATCACAGATTGAACCACTCACTCCAAACCCTTTCTTTTCACACTGACTTAAGCTTTGATTGAGCAGTGTTTCAGATATGTCGCATACATGGATTCTAGCTCCAAAACCGGCTAGCTCCTCTACTATGGCTTGCCTAAACCTTCCAAAAACACAAATTCTTTGAAAATTTCGAGTATTCAAGATATTGAACAATGGCAGAGAAATGGTTATAAAAATGTGGTATAGAGAGAATAAGAAAGACGAACCCGATTCCACTAGCCCCACCGGTCACAAGAGCAGTCGTACCTTGAAGACTCCATCTGTTGCTATCCATCATTTTCTTTTGACTTATCATTAACAAGAGATCTCACAGATTATATTGGATGAAGGTAAATCACATAACACTAATTACAACCTCTCTTTATGTAAAGGAGACATTAAACATCCATAAGAAACCAACAAAGTGTGATAAATATTGGGCATGCAGCTTCTGAGAGTGACATCCACAGAGTTTGAATGACACGCAAGTTAAAGTAGGGACCTACCTTTTGACACCAATACTGATTCTGGCAGTAACATCCAACTTTCATTCAAGTCTATTCTCCAGATTATGCGAAAACATTTACGTTTTGATTAAAAAGCAATAGAAATTTCATCAACTTCTCCAAAGTTTTCCTTTTAGCTTTCAGCAACATCCAAAGTTTGGTCACAAGATCTTTAGCTAGGAAACTATAGTAGTTGGAAACAATGTATGTGTTTCAAGCCAGAGGCCTGAAGGAGATGCCGTTGACAGTGGCACCTCCATCAACGCAAATGGTTTGACCTGTAATGTAAGAAGCTGCAGGTAGACAGAGAAACGCCACAAGCGATGAGACTTCCTTTGCTTCTCCAACACGTCCCACTGATGTCCTACGCTCCGCTTCTTCTTTTAACACTTCATCTTTGAGATACTAGAAGGATTTTGACATAGAAATTTAAATTGAGAAGTAATAACATATACCTATTCTTCATAGTAGTAAAAAGGAACTTTTTTTTATGTTGGCCTTACATTCTTAGTTAAAGGAGTTGTGATGATCCAAGGACAAACAGAGTTAGCCCTTATGTTGTCGCTCGCCCATTCGCAAGCTAAGTTTCTAGTCAGCTGATTCATGGCTCCTAGAATGATTTTATATATAGTTACACTTACATAAGCATCAAAAATGAAAGAGAATGTTGATTTAAGAATGTACATATCTATATATGCTACCTTTGGTTGCTCCATAGATGGATCCGCCACTCATATGCACAACTCCAGCAGCGGAGGACATGAACACGATGCTCCCAAAACCCGAAGCTTTCAACAAAGGATGTGCAAGCTGTGAGAGATGAAAAGCTGACTCGAGATTCGTAGCCATCAGAAACGAGAAGTCTTCTGCTGTATACTTTGTGGTCGGTTTTACTATACACGTTCCCGCATTGTTTACCTATTTTATACATAAACACAAACCAATTACATAATCAAAACATGATTTGCTCTTTTGATCCAGGCTTGAGGAGAAGGAGCTAATGTATACACTTACGAGGATGTTGAGTTTTCCTTGGAAGGCAGAGGAAACGGTTTCCATGAGTTTCTCTCGTTGGGCACGAGAAGAAACGTCGCAGACGAAAGTGGTGACCTGAAACCCTTTTGTTTGCCATTCACGTAAACGTTCTTGAAGCTGAGTTTCATCTCTGGAACATGTGTGGACTCTTGCTCCCAACATAGATAGTTCCTCCACCACAGCTTCCCTATTCATAAGACACAAAAAACATAAATACATTCTGGTTTAAACATAACAAGAGTGGTCCTATTTCTTCGGGTGTGTGCAAGTTTAACATTGAGATACAATGAGTAACCATCTTAATCTGTATTTGAATATGAGAACTCAGATTCATTATTGGAATAGTACGTGAGGAAAGTTAGGACTGACCCAATTCCTTTGCTTCCACCGGTGACAAGAGCGGTCATTCCTTTAAGACTCCACCTATTATCCATTATTGCTTATGACACTGCAGCCTGAAACACACTGAGATGATTAACCAAAAGTTAAACAGTAAGCAATTGATGGTTAGCCAATAGCTCTACGAAACAAAAAGTTGAAAATGGTTCAGGACAACAAGAAAGTAGAAACAAAGCCGGACCTCTTCTTCTGTTCTGTATTTCCAATAAATTATGAGGTCTGGATTTGAGCTCAGAGTTTCTCTTATATTTCATAGAACTGTACTATCGACATGTCTTCAAGGATCATGCGCTCCAAGACACCCTCAACTACTTTTGTTCACAGTAAAGACCTCAACTACTATATTCGACTTTAAATGAAACTAACCACTTACCAGACAAAGAAAAAACAAAACATGACGATATATCATATGTATGCCAGCACTGTTTCTATACTGGGAAAGGGATAAACGTGTTTTACATTTAAGCAACGGTTTGCATAAAGTAGGCACCAAACTGATGCAGTGAATCTTACTTACTGTTACATGCAAAAATGATGTGTGCCAGGAAATTGAGTGGATACAATCTCCATCAGTTTTCACTCTCAGGTCAAGTCACGGACTGATTCAGTGACTTAAAAGCCACCTTTTTTTTCATACACAAAGCAGAGCTTCAGATTTACCACACGAGTGTATATTTCCCAAAAACTACCTAGTTCCTCCAATATGGCATTCCTAAACATTTCGTACGCAATCTGATGATATTGTCCATTAAAAGAGAATCCAACTCTCCCACAAAACTAACAAAAGCCTGGAGATTTCAGAATGCGTCAAACATTGAGCTGGAAAGCTTTTATAAACCCACAGCCCTCACTGGCCAACTCGAAAGTGAGTTAATCCGAAGTGGCAGCCAAGCCCAAGTCTTAACCAACAAGACAACCTTCCGTCTTACACTGTATATTTATGACTAGAAGATGGGATTCTAATCAAAATATAAACCAATACAACATTTCAGACAAAATTAAATTAACCGCTTATTCTGACCAGAAGAGAATAGATTCAGATATTTACTCCTCATCGACATTTAACAAATATATATTGGTCTCGTAACTTCTGGCAATAACCAAAAACAGGGCTATATGCAGTAATAAATACACAGGGAAGAAGAAGACTGACCCGATCCCGTAGGCTTCATCATATACAAGGGTGGTGATCCACTGAAGATTTCTCATGTTGTCTCTGCAACTTCCCTCTTTCTAAGCCATTGTTGTGAATGAATTCAGATTCAAGACACTAAGAAAGTCAAAACCGAGAAATTATGACACAGAGAACGAACCATTGTATCATCATATACAACCGCCCTTGTATCATCATATACAAGGGCGGTGATTCATTGAAGATTTCTCATGTGTCTCTGCAACTTCCCTTTTTCTAAGCCCTTGTTGTGAATGAATTCAGATTCAAGACACTAAGAAAGTCAAAACCGAGAAAGGATGACACAGAGAACGAACCAGTGAAGGCTCATGGATGGGAAACTTATCCGATGCTGAATTATCCTTTACATTAACAGTAGATTCAGTAATAAATCTTAATTTCTCATGAAAGTAGAAGACAGAAAGGTATTAAGTCTCATATAACAATTTCTTTTTCACGGGAGAAAAAGAAGATACACTAAAGAGCAAAGAAAGAATCTCAAGGAAACTAGTGATAGAGTAGCCTAATCATGTCGTGGGAAGAAACCGTTTATTGACATTCCTCCATCAACACAAATAATCTGCCCTGTGATATATGATGATGCAGGTAGGCATAAAAAGGCCACTGCAGAAGACACCTCTCTCGGTTCGCCAAGCCGACCGAGAGGAGTTATTGAGTAGACTTCGTCTAGGTACTCTTTGTTGCTAAGGACCTGAAACCAAAAGATGTGAATCATCAAACAAGCCTGTGTAAACAAGTTATCTTAGTCTTTATCATTTTAAGAACATAGAAAATTACTTGCTCCACCATAGATGTTTTGATATACCACGGCGCAACAGCATTGATTCTTATATTGTCCTTGGCCCACTCGCAAGCTAAACTTCTCGTAAGTTGATTGATTGCTCCTAAAACACAAAGTGTAACGAGAAAGAACCATACGTCTTATCGGCCAATTGCTCTTTATAGCATCTAAACATCAATAACTATAATGTAGCATAAGAGGAGATCTTTCTCTGTTTCTATACTAACTAAATCAACACCTTTAGTTGCAGATTGGACCGACATATTCTTGAGCGAGACAAAACCAGAAACAGAAGAGATGGACACAACACTTGCAGCCTCAGATGCTCTAAGCATCGGATAAGCAAGTTGGCATAAATGGAAAACCGATTCGAAATTCGTCGACATGAGAGTCGAAAATTCTCCAGCAGTAAACTCTACCATTGGTTTCCTGATATTCGTCCCGACATTGTTTACCTGTAAGCAAGAAAGTAACTTCTTTTTTTTAAGAATTGTTCACACAGACATAAAAACGAACACTTTATGTGCACTTTCTACGAAGCAGTGACATTAAACACTTACAAGGATATGGAGCTTCCCGTCGAAGAAAGACGATACATTCTCCATCAAAGCCTCTCGCTGAGCTCGATCAGAGACATCGCAGACCGAACCAGCAACTCGGAAACCGGAACGGTTCCAATCTCCTAAACAATTCTCGAGCTCGGTCTCATTCCGAGCGCACGTGTGAACCTCTGCTCCGAGACCGGCAAGTTCCTCAACAATCGCACGCCTGTAATCACAGTAAGACAACACATTGGTCTGAGAATCGGCGTTTGATAGGGGCACAGAGTCGTTGGAATTGAAGAGACACAAACCCGATCCCGCGAGTACCGCCGGTGACAAGAGCAGACATTCCATGGAGAGACCATCTGTTGGGTGTTGTGGCGATGGAGATCCGCGATGCGCAACGGACGAGGAAGGAGGATGATGAGGATTGTGGTTGTAGCGGTATGCGTTTGGAAGAGATGTATAAGTGAGGTTTCAGGGAAGAAGAAGCAATACAGTGAAGGGGTTGAGGCGGATTTGTGTACAAGTGATAAGCAATGTTGAGCCCCATTGATGCAGAAACTGAGAGCTGAAGTTTATGTTTAGAGCTTTCAAAAGTGTTGACTTTTATTTGAATCTGCAGAATTGTTAAAGTGACAACATTGCTAACGGCAGAATTGTATAAAAATGAAAAATGGGAGTTTTCATATAATTAGGCAATTCTGCAAAAATTTAAAATGTCAAAAATTTATTTTAAAAAAAAAATCAAACAAAATCTCATTACAAGGACCGGAAAAGTGGTCTATCTCTTTTTATATATATATATAAATATAATCAGATGAAAAGGAGAAAAACATAGAGGGAAGAGAAGAATGGAAATAATGGAATAATTTAGAGGATACAATCATTGAGCAGCTAAAAACCATTATAACCAGATGTGAGCAATGAACTGCAAGATCATTTTTGTAAACTGGAAAATCATAGTTTCTGCTTATGAGAAATACTCTTGTATATTTTTTCATATTGACAATATTCATACTCTTCCATGAAAATCAGTACTTTAAAATATTCCTCTAATATTTAATGTAAATGATGCTTGTTTGTCATTTTACGACAAATAGTTGTATTGAAAAAGTCAAAGAAAATTAGAAAAGGTAAGCAAATACGTATACAAGTAGCGTTGAATACACAACTTTAATGAAAGTTGAGAATATTTATCTCTATTTATACAAGTCTACTGAACTTTATGTGACTATATCTACATGTAGAACCTGCATGACAACTTCTTTTGAGTGTAGTTTATGTTTATTTTTGCATCAAACAAATAATTGAATGGTCAAGTCTTATTTTCCTTTGTCTTTGAATTGACTATCTAGTTTCAGCTTATTGTTTTAACACTTTTTAAGAAATGTTCATCCATTTTAATTATATCGGATGGTGGCTATCACCAAGACCAACGGCGTACAGTTATTGGATCCCTTCTCCCTGCGGATTAATTTTCGATAAAATAATCGATTAACTCTAAAGTTAAAAATGATTAGCCATACAAGCTAAAAAAATGACGTTATCTTTTTCATCTATATTTATTTGTACCGCCAAAACATGTTGATACACTACAATCTTGTAACCATACTTTGGATCGTATAAATAACAATATAATTGATCATGTACTGTTGCAAATACTTTATCTAAGAAGAAACTTTGGAGGAAACTCCAAATGGAATTTTCTAGGATATTAATAAAAGGGTTGTTTAGAATTTTATATTACAAAAAAAAAGTCAGATACTCAACTCGGTTTGCTTAACTTCTTAGTAGATACAAAAGGTTTGAATATGAAAAGGTCGAGTTTTCTTGAAACTATAAAAAGAGATAGCAATGCACACAAGTAACTTCATACTCTCACAACCACCAAATGGCGATTACCTCCAAATCCATAGCTCCAACAATAATCTTCCTATTATACCTAATTTCTTGCGTCTCAAGTCAACAAGAAACCAAATTTCTAAACCATGGCTTTCTTGGTGCTAATCTCCTCAAGTTCGGGTCCTCCAAGATCCACCCCAGTGGACTCTTGGAGCTAACAAACACTTCAATGAGGCAAATGGGTCAAGCTTTTCACGGCTTTCCCATACCCTTATTAAACTCATCGAATTCATCAGTTTCTTTCTCCACAAGTTTCGTTTTCGCCATCACTCCAGGACCAGGCTCACCAGGCCACGGCTTAGCTTTCGTTATCTCACCCTCAATGGACTTTAGCCAGGCCTTTCCCACTAACTATCTAGGCCTCTTCAACACTTCAAACAACGGAAACCCCTTAAACCGCATCCTCGCTGTTGAATTCGACACGGTGCAAGCCGTTGAGTTTAACGATATTGATGATAACCACGTTGGTATCGACCTAAACGGAGTGGTCTCCATCGAGTCTGCACCGGCTGCATATTTTGATGACCGAGAGGCAAAGAACGTAAGTCTGAAGCTGGCAAGTGGAGAGCCAATTAGAGTCTGGATCGAGTACAATGCCACCGAGATGATGCTCAATGTCACAGTAGCTCCTCTAGATCGTTTGAAACCGAACTTGCCTCTTCTCTCAAGGAAACTGAATCTTTCAGGGATTTTCGCCGAAGAAAACTATATCGGATTCTCTGGAGCCACCGGAACTATCACTAGCGCACATCTTGTTCTTGGCTGGAGCTTTAGCATCGAAGGTAAAGCATCAGAGTTTGATCTCACGAAGCTTCCTTCTATTCCAGACCCGCCAACACCATCGTCTCCATCTCCAAATCCTCCGGTTTCAGTCAAAAAGGATACAAATAACACAAAGCTGATTATAATCTTGGCTGCATCAGCAACATTTGGACTGATCATAATGTTAAGCTTCTTAGGAGTTTGGTTTTTCCGTAGAAACCAAATATTAGTCACAAGAGGCGCACGGAAATTCTCCCACCAGATGATTTCCAATGCAACGGGAGGTTTTGACAACACTAGACTTCTAGGAGAGAGGAACTCAGGAAGTTTCTATAAAGGGCAGCTTACTCCTACAGAGATAATCGCAGTGAAGAGAATTACTTGCACCACAAGGCAACAAAAGACAACCCTAATATCCGAGATCGATGCAATCTCCAAGATCAGACAAAGAAACCTTGTTAATCTACTTGGTTACTGCACCAAAGGAAACGATATCTGTCTCGTTTACGAGTATGTCCCCAACGGAAGCCTAGACCGGTTCTTATTCAGCAATGACAGACCGGTTCTCACATGGTCGGACCGGTTCTGTATCATAAAGGGGATTGCATCAGGACTTCAGTACCTTCACGGAGAAGGTCCAAAACCTTTAATTCACGGAAACGTCAAAGCAAGCAACATACTCTTGGACGAAGAGCTAAACTCTCGACTTGGAGACTACGGACAAGGAAGCAGGCACAGCACAACAGGACACGTGGCGCCGGAGCTAGTCGAAACAGGAAAGGTAACACGTGACACAGACGTGTATGCGTTTGGTGTGTTGATGATGGAGATTGTTTGTGGAAGGAAAGCCATTGAGCCGACGAAACCACCTGAAGAAATCAGTTTAGTGAATTGGGTGCTTCAAGGGTTCAAGAATGGTGATCTGTTACAGAGATGCGATGCAAGAATCAATAGAGAGGAATTGGTGGCTCGGGAAGTGTTGTTGGTTCTGAAAACCGGACTTCTGTGCGCAAACCGGTCTGCTGAAGCTAGACCGATGATAAAGAAAGTGTTTCAGTATCTCGATGGTCTAGAACGTCTCCCTCATGACGACTACCTTTTCTATGGAGTCTAAAAAGGTGATCTCGATACGCGGTTGTATTTAAAAAGCGTTTGCGTTTTGGGGTTAGTGTATATCTTTAAAGATTTGACTAAGTCGTATAAGCATGAATCTATAAAATTGTACCATACATACTGTAAGATATTACTTCTAATAAATCGTTTTTGTGAAATATAGTAATCGCATAAGAAACAGATACGAGGTCTCTCAAGCAGAACACAGATCGAAGATGGTAAACCCAACATATATGTATAGACTAAAAATAGCAAAATTCAAATCAGAAGAGTCAGTTTAAGAAATATATGATTGTAGGAGGTACGAACTTAAGAGGCAAGGCATTTGCTAATCTAAGACGCACATGAACAGAGATCTGTGTTACTTCACCTGACTAAGTCCAGGCACAAATGAGAGGATCCGCAGAATAGCCACTTTCTTAACTGTAGTTGAAACTATACTCATCTAAAACAAAATTCCAGAGGATAACCATGTTTCAGTATAAAATGGCGTTTTGCATTTTAGTTAATCTAAGATTACAACCAACGGCATTCTTCTTTCAAACCCAAACTCAAAGCTAAATCCCGGACAATCATAGAACCAAACTTTAATATAAAAAAAAACATTCAATGCAAGAAACTATTACCAGAAGATCAGCCATGAATGTCTGCATAAAGTCTGCACTCAAGAATAGCAGAGTAATTGTCACTTGTCCAATTTTGCTGCCACCAACAAACAGAAAACATAAGAAAGTTTGGAACATGAAAGAAAAACCACCACATAAAAGATAATATAGCAAGGCAATGTATCTTATAAAAACGATGTTCAAATGACGCTGGATACTCAATAACAGGATAATAGGATTTAGTGGCTGATTCCCTTCTTTGCTTTCAATGACTCGAGTGCTTTGTTTCGCAACTCAATCTCAAGCTTCTTTGGATCTGACTCTTCTCCATTTTTACTCTTGCGACGGGTCTCAGCTTCGCCCTCTGAAGAATCAGAATACTCTCGATTCTTAAGTTTCTGCTTCTCACTACGACGTTCTTCCCTTTTACGACGTCTCTCCTCCCGCCTGCGTTTCTTCTCTTCCTTTCTTGTTTTCTTTTCCTCCTTTCTCCTCCTTTTAGCCTCCTTCCTATCTTCTATGTCAGCATCAGAACTGCCATTATCGTCTGATGATACATCTCCCCTCTCTGACCTTTTATTCTTTCTACTCTTGTTATCCTTAGTTCGATGCCTGCTACTTTCCTTAGAATCAGAAGAAAGGTTTGCATCCAGGTCGCTGTTATCCTCTTTCTGGACTTCCTCACTACCTTTCACTTTATTTGAAGGAGGCTGTCTCTTTCCTTCTGAATTTTCTACTCGAACGGAGTCCTTATGCGAAACTGGAGACATCTGTGAACTGTGGACTCTATGACCAGAACGCCTCTCTGATAACTTTTCACTGTTAAGAAGTTGAATAGACCAACGTCAACAGACCATAAAATCTGAAGTCAAAAGACTATCATATGTAAAAAAAGGAAAAGAAAACAAAATCCACCTCTTTCTCTCTTGTTCCTTCGCGTGTTCTACACGCCCACCATCTTGTACCTTCTCCGGTATCTGGTTCGTCTTATAAGAATCAGGTGACTGCACTGAAGTCTTCTTTAACAGCTTGGATTTGTGATCCCTCTCCTCTCTACACGCCATGCGAAAGCAGACAGATGGTCAAGGAGTTAGCAACTATTGAAAAGAAGAATCTGCATGTAACTTAACAACAGTTTATTGCACCTTTATGTTAAAAAGGAATTTACACAAATAAAATGGTAAATGGAGTCATGAAAAGCATACCTATCTTGCTCTTCAGATGGATGTCCAGGAGATCTTCTGTCCCTCTGGTGTTTTCTTCCACCTGATGAAGGAGATCTACGACGAACAGGAGGGGAGAGCGACCTAGACAAAGACCTGCTCCAAGAAGGAGATCGTCTCTTACGGCTGTCTTCAGGTGATCGCGAAACAGATGGAGATCTTCGACTTCGCCTTCGCCGGTTGACAGGTGTTGGTGATCTTCGACGAACAGGAGAGCGCGCACTCTGATGTCGAGGGGAAGGAGAAGATCTACCTCTACCTCTAACAGGTAAGATAGATCCACCCTGCTTGACATGTGAAGGAGATTCTGCTTCAGGACGTCCAGCAGGTGACACGGAGCCTCGTTCTTTGGCAGGTGTTAGTGACCTGCGTCTTCTAACAGGTGGTGATGGTAACCCATTTTTCCTACCAGGCGGGGAAAGTGAGCTAGGTGATGGTGAGTCAAGGTGATTGGACGAATGGGGCACTCCAAGCCTCATTGGTGATGGTGATCCTGCACGCCTAGGAGGCGGTGAAGGCAACCTTTGCCCAGTGGATGGTGAAGGCAAACTGGACCTCATAAGGGGAGGAGAGGGCAACCTTTGTCCAGTGGGTGACGGAGATCTCCCTGGGGAGCAAGACCTTTCCCGCTTAGCCGGTTGTGACCGTGACCGTGACCGTGACCTGTTACGCCTATACACTGGAGATGGAGACCTGCGCCGCCTAGCTATCGGTGAAGGAGACCTGCGCCGCCTAGAGGAAAATGGAGACCGGCGACGCCTAGCAGGCGGTGATGGTGACCTGCGTCGCCTAGCAGGTGGTGATGGAGACCTGCGTCTCCTAGCAGGAGGGGATGGTGACCTGCGCCGCCTGAAAGGCGATGGAGACCTGCGACGGGGTCTCTCAGGTGTAGATACACGGCGACGTCTTTGTGGTGATGGTGACCTACGACGTCTAACAGGTGACCGTGACCTGCTTCCATAAGGAGAATGTATCCTACGTCGCCGAGGAGACCGAGACCTACGCAAGGAACGTGATCTGGATCTACGCCTTGAATACGGCGATCTCCGCTTTCTGGGTGAGATGGAGGCATCTGATGATCGAGACAAGCTCCTTGATTTCCGTTCACTGTTGCACAAGTAGATCAGCCATTAGCAAACACTGCACTAAGATTTAGAAGAAATAATAGATGCAGAACTAACGAGTTGAAAATCAGAAGCTACAATTTCACTGGATTTAGAAATTTAATTACGGAGGGCAACATACCCAGAATAACTTCTCGATCCTGATTTTGTTCTGCTGATTGACCTAGAGCGTGAACCTCTGCAAAGCAACGAATTAATACTCACGTATATGGAAATGGTACATGAAGAACAAAACTGCTGAAGAATTACAGGAGAGGTGAGCAAGATTGAGAGAATTTACAAAGCAATTACAAAGTAGGTACTGATAACATAGGAATTGAGAGAACTGTACCTTCTCCTTTCTTTTACTCCATTCTTCTCCTCAGCTGGAAGATCTCTTGAAGGTTTAGTCTCCATGCCATTTGTCACCTTCTGTTCAACGCCGCTGTCCTACAGTAGTTTGAGGTAAAGCACATGAACCCTAATAATTGCAGAAGCTATCTGAATAACATGGAAAGAACAGGCGAAGTTAAAATAAGAAGAGCATTTTAAAGACTGAAATTCTAGCATGAATAAGTTAGTCTTACTATTTTCCTCGATATATCCTGCTCATGGCTCTTATGTTCTCTCTCCCTCCTACCACCTGTTTCATCTAACTGATCTTTTTTTTCATATGCTTCTTCCTGCCACAAAAGGAAAAACCAATGAGACTACAGGAGAAAGAAAAGTCATTCATCATCAATTTTAACTTCAAAATGACTCCCCAAGAATACCTGTTTCTTCTTCGTTTCAGCTTCTTTAGCATCTAAAAACTGTTGTGGAACACCACTTGAGTTATTCTGTGCGCTTATAAGAAGTGTCCAGAGCTCCTTCATGAACTTGCCAGTATTTTTCTCCATAAATCCAGTTAGCGAAATCTGAATCTCCTTACCGTTCACTACCTACATTAGGAACACAATTCAATTGGTTTCAAGAAAACAAAAACAGTTTAAAAAAAAAAAAAAAAAAGCAAAGCTCAGTAATTAGCTACCTTCCCATCAAGCAGACCGTAAATAAAGTTGATTAGCACTTCATCTTCAAAACCAAGTAGCTCAGTGACTCTAGTCGCAATCCAAGGTTTCATAACATCCATCTTCACTTTGGTCACATCAACCTGACACCAAACGAAGCAGAGGATGTCCATTTCCACAACTGGTAATAAATTTACACAATTAAGCCTTCCCAAAACTTAAATTTCACAGAAAAATATGCATCATTATCCAATAATTCAATTTCAACTAAGTAATTCAAACGAAATAACCCAAGTGCTTAGACTCAATTAGATACAGAACTCACGAATGAACCAAACTAATTGGTAATCGTTTAATTTGGAAGAGGACACAAAGAAACTGACCAGATTCTCCAACTCCGGAGCGAATTTCTGGCTTTTCATCAATTTGGCTTGCTTGTTAGAAAACCGAGTATCCTGCTCAGCAGAAGTACCCTGAAACTCAAACAAAGAGGAATCAGAGCGAATCGAAAACCGAGCTTTAAGCAAAGCTCTCGCGAAACTTGATCTGGATCTAAATAGATGGATAATATCAATCGCAGTATTCAATCAAAAAGAAGATGATCGAGAACTCACCCGGAAAAAACCGCCAGACATTATTTAGGATTTGTGGAAGCTATTTTTCTTCTCCAGAAACTTACGTGGTCGAGGAGAAAAATCGAAAGCTTCAGAGCGATGGAGACTTTGAAGATGTAAAGGGGAGATTTTGAAGAGTTTTTACGAGCCCTAAAACTCACTGAATTGTTTCAATTTTCCATTGTTACCCTCAGATTTGTATTCAAATCACGTTGTTGCCATTTTAAGGGAGCATCGTAAATTCGTGAGCCATAAAGCGTGTTAGCCCAAAAGAACCAAAGTCAGTAAACCCGTCTGTAGCTATTTCCCCTTAAGTAAGCATGTTAGGCCCAAAGCAATCACTGAAACCACAAAGATCTAACACCATGTGGTAGACACACTACTTTTTTTTTTTTATTATTCTAGGTCAAAGCTCGTAATCCCTTGGCCCGAAACCAAAACATATAATATTAGTTCTGTATCAAGTGTCACTCGATCCTATAACATCTAGGTTTTGCCTAAAACCTTTTTACCAAACACGAGAAAAATTAAAGAAAAAACAAAAGCGATCATTCGTGTACAAAATTTTCATTATCTAAATCGAACATGCCGACCAAATATCAGATATATTTATCATCTTTAATAGCTCTAAGGTCAGTTTGAAAGAGAGGATTACCTCATAATGCATTAACATAGCACATGATTGCTTAGATAGAAGATTCTAGTTTTGTGTGTAAAATGGAATGTTTCGACCTTCTCCCTTACTTCCTACTAGTAAAAGTTCTCCATTCATGTAACATTATATCATTCCAACCCAAAGTAAATACTATCACCTTTTATGATGTAAGCTTAGATCTCTTAACCTTAGCAAACACTCAATAAATCGTAAACAATTGTTGGGGAAGGCTTGGATGGAAAGTAATCAGTTAAAAACCACTTTAAAAGGGACACCATGTAATGAAGGAGAGACTCCAGAGACTATTCTCTGAGGAGCCATCACACAAAAAAATTACAAAATATCGAGAACTCAAAAATAAAAGAACCTGCAAGTCATAAAAAATAGAATTGGACATATAAAAATTGTCATAAAAAAGTGGAACAAAAGTTAAAGCGCCAAAGTGTAAACGGCAAACAAATTGTTTGTGATTTGGTTTTAAGGCGCACACAAATATAGAAATTTCTTAATATACACCACCTTTGAATCTGCTTAACCTTTTTCTGATTCTGAATCTCTCAAACATTTTTACTTGAATCTCTCTTATTAAAGAGTTACCACATGAACAAAAAAAAGAACTTGAGAACTGAAGAACAAATCATAAAGATACGTTTCTATTTTTTCTTTAGATAAATTATGTAAAAAAGAAGAATCAATGTTAAAAGTTCCAATGGTCATAAAAAAAAACAGAAACGAAAAATAAAATCTTGCCATAAAGGAGTGAAAAAACAAAAATTAAAGCAAAAACAGTGTTAAAGAGAAACGTGTCGTTGTTTATGATATGGTCTTGAGGCGCACGCAACCTAATCTGGAAATATTTTGTATTCGTGCCATATTTTGAATCCGCTTAATCTTCTTGTTAACTCTGAATTTTTCACTTGAATCTCTCTAAGGAGCCACCATGCGGAAAAACAAAAGAACTTGGATCTCAAGCACAAATCATAAAAAACCATAAATAATTAGGAAAACTTGAATATTTCATATTGGAATTTATTTTTCACAATTCGGCCATTAGAAACAAAGAATTATAAAAAGATAGTTATCAAAAATACTACATTTTGTATTGTCATTTAAAAATTACTGTAATATACTAAAATTCTAAAACAGCATAAATTTTGAGTTGAATCTCTAGTATACAATCTCTCTTATTAAAGAGTTACCACGTGAAAAAGAAAAGAGCTTGAGAACTGAAGAACAAATCATAAAAATAAAATAATATTTCTGTTTTTTTTTAAATATACATTATGTAAAAACGAAGAACTTACATTTGTTTAAAAAGCTAAAACTTCCAATAGTCATAAAAAAAGTAGAAACGGAAATAAATTCTTGCCATAAAAGAGTAAAATAACAAAAATTAAAGCAAAAAGTGTTAAGATAAATATGTCGTTGTTTATGATATGGTCTTGAGGCGCACACAACCTGATGTGAAATTTTTTTTTATTCACGCCATATTTTGAATTCGCTTAATCTTCTTGTTAATTTTGAATTTCTCAATTTTTCACTTGAATCTCTCTAAGGAGCCACCATGCAAAAAATAAAAGAACTCGGATTTCAACCACAAATCATAAAAAAAACATAGATAAGTAGGAAAACATGAATAATTCATCTTGGAATTTCTTTTTAACTATTCGGCCATTAGAAACAAAGAACTATAAAAAGATAATTATCAAAAATACTACATTTTGTATTGTCATATAAAAATTACTGTAATATACTAAAATTCTAAAACAACATAAATTTTGAGTTGAATCTCTAGTATAGAATCTCTCTTATTAAAAAGCTACCACATGAAAAAGAAGAACTTGAGAACTGAAGAACAAATCATAAAATAACGTTTCTGTTTTATTTAGATAAATTATGTAAAAAAAATAATAATTTTACATTGGTTTAAATAGCTAAAACTTCCAATAGTCATAAGAAATAGAAACGGAAATAAAATCTTGCCATAAAAGAGTAAAATAACAAAAATTAAAGCAAAAAAGTGTTAAGATAAATGTGTCGTTGTTTATGATATGGTCTTGAGGCGCACACAACTTAATGTGGAAAGTTTTTTTTATTCGCGCCATATTTAGAATCCGCTTAATCTTCCTGTTAATTTTGGATTTCTCAATTTTTCATTTGAATCTCTCTAAGGAGCCACCATGCAAAAAATAAAAGAACTCGGATTCAAGCACAAATCAAAAAAAAACATAGATAATTAGGAAAACATGAATATTTTATTTTGGAATTTATTTTTCACAATTCTGCCATTAGAAACAAAGAACTATAAAAAGATAGTTATCAAAAATACTAAATTTTGTATTGTCATTTAAAAATTACCGTAATATACTAAAATTCTAAAACAACATAAATTTTTAAGCTGAATCTCTAGTATACAATCTCTCTTATTAAAGAGTTACCGTGTAAAAAAAGAAAAGAACTTGAGAACTGAAGAACAAATCATAATATAACGTTTTTGTTTTTTTTTTATAGATAAATTATGTAAAAACGAAGAATCTTACATTGGTTTAAATAGTTAAAACTTCTAATAGTCATAAAAAATAGAAACGGAAATAAAATGTTGCCATAAAAGAGTAAAATAACAAAAATTAAAGCAAAAAAAGTGTTAAGATAAATGTGTCGTTGTTTATGATATTGTCTTGAGGCGCACACAACCTAATGTGCAAAGTTTTTTCATTCGCGCCATATTTTGAATCCGCTTAATCTTCTTGTTAATTTTGAATTTCTCAAATTTTCACTTGAATCTCTCTAAGGAGCCACCATGCAAAAAATAAAAGAACTCGAATTTCAATCACAAATCATTAAAAAAAAAACATAAATAATTAGGAAAACATGAATATTTCATCTTGGAATTTATTTTTCACAATTCGGCCATTAGAAACAAAGAATTATAAAAAGATGGTTATCAAAAATACTACATTTTGTATTGTCATATAAAAATTACTGTAATATACTAAAATTCTAAAACAACATAAATTTTGAGTTGAATCTCAAGTATACAATCTCTCTTATTAAAGAGTTACCATGTAAAAAAGAAAAGAACTTGAGAACTGAAGAACAAATCATAAAATAACGTTTCTGTTTTTTTTATTAGATAAATTATGTAAAAACAAATAATTTTACAGTGGTTTAGATAACTAAATCTTCCAATAGTCATAAAAAATAGAAACGGAAATAAAATCTTGCCATAAAAGAGTAAAATAACAAAAATTAAAGCAAAAAGTGTTAAGATAAATGTTTCGTTGTTTATGATATGGTATTGAGGCGCACGCAACTTAATGTGGAAAGTTTTTTTTATTCGCGCCATGTTTTGAATCCGCTTATTCTTCTTGTTAATTTTGGATTTCTCAATTTTTTCACTTGAATCTCTCTAAGGAGCCACCATGCGAACTCGGATTCAAGCACAAATCATAAAAAAACATAGATAATTAGGAAAACATGAATATTTTATTTTGGAATTTGTTTTTCACAATTCGGCCATTAGAAACAAAGAACTATAAAAAGATAGTTATCAAAAATACTACATTTAGTATTGTCATTTAAAAATTACCGTAGTATACTAAAATTCCAAAACTACATAAATTTTTAAGTTGAATCTCTAGTATACAATCTCTTATTAAAGAGTTACCGTGTAAAAAAGAAAAAGAACTTGAGAACTGAAGAACAAATTATAATATAACGTTTCTGTTTTTTTTTATAGATAAATTATGTAAAAACGAAGAATCTTACATTGGTTTAAATAGTTAAAACTTCCAATAGTCATAAAAAATAGAAACAGAAATAAAAACTTGCCATAAAAGAGTAAAATAACAAAAATTAAAGCAAAAAAAAATGTTAAGATAAATATGTCGTTGTTTATGATATTTTCTTGAGGCGCACGCAACCTAATGTGGAAAGTTTTTTTCATTCGCGCCATATTTTGAATCCGCTTAATCTTCTTGTTAATTTTGAATTTCTCAATTTTTCACTTGAATCTTTCTAAGGAGCCACCATGCGAAAAAGAAAAGAACTCGGATTCAAGCACAAATCATAAAAAAAAACATAGATAATTAGGAAAACATGAATATTTTATTTTGGAATTTATTTTTCACAATTCGGCCATTAGAAACAAAGATCTATAAAAAGATAGTTATCAAAAATACTAAATTTTGTATTGTCATTTAAAAATTACCGTAATATACTAAAATTCTAAAACAACATAAATTTTTAAGTTGAATCTCTAGTATACAATCTCTTTTATTAAAGAGTTACCGTGTAAACAAAAAAAAAGAACTTGAGAACTGAAGAACAAATCATAATATAACGTTTCTGTTTTTTTTAATAGATAAATTATGTAAGAACAAATAATTTTTACAGTGGTTTAGATAACTAAAACTTCCAATAGTCATAAAAAATAGAAACAGAAAAAAAAATATTGCCATAAAAGAGTAAAATAACTAAAATTAAAGCAAAAAAGTGTTAAGATAAATGTGTCGTTGTTTATGATAT